TTTATGGCAGTAGTACTTGATTCTTATGACAGTATTTTGCTGGTCTCTTATCAATAAGTATTCATATGGGCATTGTGGGGGTGAAGACAGGTCTAGGAGGGGTTGTACTAACGGTAGCATTCCACTTAATGACCGCATTTACAATTCTGTAGAGGATAATCGCTTCTCAAAGGGAATATATACTGGACAAGGTTCGTGTTATTAGAAGGGCATCCCACACGCTCTCTTTGAGCTCAATTATCTCGGTTTTTTCAAAAGTTATCAAAAAGTTTTCAGCTAATAAATTATTTATCATAATATTACCAACATTTTATCACCTCATTTTTAAACACATTTTGGCCTAAAACTCATAGGTGCTCAAGTTTATCTTCTATCTCAAAACAGTTGCTAATGTATTGTTTAATGTAGAATCTGAATTTCATGTTTAATTTTATAAAATAATGGAAATTTTTTTCAGGACGGTCATTTTTTGGTCCAAAAATAACTTTTTTTGCAAAAAATTGAAATTTTTCCAGGGAAGATGGGAGAATATAAATATAGTGCCAGTACAAGAAATGTTTAAAATAATGCTCAAAAACGTTCTACAATAAGACCTTATCATTATTTCACTTTTGAAAAAAATTTTTTTAGACACCCCACGACCATATTTTTGCAGGTGTGGGACAAGTCGGGACAAATTATATTTCATATACCTTAAAAGTTTATAAACATTCAATATATGAAAAATCTGCCAGAAACAACAATTTTGAATTTTTCTGTACAGCACTATGTTTGGTTCTGTCAGAGAATGTGTCTTAAACGTCAATTATAAGCCCTGGTCCCTTTAAGCCGTGAGATCTTTCTGTTTCAATTATTTATACATATTTATTTCGAACTTGAATTTTTTTGTTCTATGTAGATTGGAAAAATCACCATTTCCACATTTTTTAAAATTATAAAACCGGATATACACCCTAAGAATCACATTCCATCTCATTTTCTGACTTTTCCTTTTTTTAATTAGCTCTGAGAACTACAACTCCATCAAGAAAGCGTGTAGCCCGCTGAATGTTTGCCCCTTCATTGCATTCGCGCTCTACGGAGAATTCTCCTCTGCATGACGTGCCAACGCGAACACACACATATATTACGACGCGGGTTTCCCCTACGACATCTCTCTTACGCTCTCCAGCCGTCCCTAACCATCTTCCTACTGCCCACTATTTTCTTGTTTTCTTTTCCACCTCTTCCTCGCGCGTATTCTCTCACCGCTCTTCATCGTATGTCACTGTGCGCGGTCTCCATTGAAAATCCAATATTTTGGTGTTCCAGCAACCCATATTTTTTGTTTTTTTATGTTCTACCGCGCATTTTTTGACTTCTGCTTTTGAATGCCAGTTTCCACAAATTTCCTTGATTTGGAGCAGTTTTCATTGGTAATTATGATTTTTGCCGAATTTTTAAAACTAATTTTCTCTCTTAATAATTCAAATTCTCACTTTTCCGCTAACTTCCTTCTCTCCAATTTTAGCTCAATTTTTTCCCAATTTTCAGGTAATTATCATGAACAATTACTGGGTCGACCCTGTTGATGAATACTTCGTCGGTGATTACTTCGAGTTCCGATTCGCCGGACCAGCTGAGTTGCGTCCACCACCAGAAGTGAAGGTTCCTGCAAATTTGATTCCTGCTCCAGTTGATGATTCTGCTCTAAAGGCTGCTGGCCCATTGGAAAAGGACATAAAAATCGAGCCAGAAGATCCAGACTTTCCGCCAAGCAAGCCACCAACTCCTCCTCCAAAACCGCCAGCCAAGTTCTATCTGCCACCTGGAAGATCAACGAACGTGTCGTTGTGGACTGTAAGTTTTAATTTTCAAAAAATGAAAATCTGAGAATCTTGGAGACGGATTTTTTCGTTGATTCGAAAATTTCTGCATCCAGTTTTTCTTGAAGGCAAACATTATCTCGAAAAAGCCTAATAATGCTATTCAAAGGAAAGCTAACTCAGCAACTCGCTGCTGCTGCGACAATCAAAAAATCTGGTATTTTCTAGGCCAATTTGCTAGTCAAGCGAGATTCTTGCAGGAAATTCCACGCGTTTTTAATCTGAGCTCGTAAATTGCTTCAAAATCGAAGGCACATGGAATATCCTGCAATGGTCTCGCTTGGCAGCGGTGGACTAGCAATTCGGCGCAGAAAACCCAGTATTTTTATTGCCACGAACGCAGTAGTTCGCTGATTTTGCTCAGCTCGGCAGAAAAAAAAACATCGAAATTCTCTTCGACGCTCTTCCAAAATTCTCTTCAAGCATCTAAAAACCATACATGTGGATGGCCGGGCCGGCCCGCTTGCCTCAAACCCCTCAGCCCGCCTAGAACAACTTTTTGAAAAATTTTCTTTTCAAGTGTGCCAAAATATTTTTAATAGCAAAAATATTAATCCAAATGCATACAACCATCCGAAAAAGTTAATTTAATTGGATTTTTAGCAAAAAAAAATCAAACTTCATCAAGCCAAGGATGAAACTTTTCTTCTAATTACAACCTCAAAACAGTTTGTTTAGACAGAATCGGCCTCTTGTGTGGTTTTTCATGTATTAAGAAGAAAAGCCATCTTGAAAAATGATGATTCGCTCTGAAATTTTGAAATTTTCAAAAAGCGGGCCGGCCCGCGGGCCGGCCATCTTTTCCACAAGTATGCTAGACTAAAAAACAAGACTTTTGAAAATTTGGCCACATTCTGTGAAGTACTTCTGGGCTGTGAAGGTTGCGGCAGCCTACCAGTCAGTTTTGGGTTGCTGAGCTTATTCTAGAAAAAGCAAAAAAACAAATTGGTCCATGGTAACCTGCTAAAGGCCTAAGCCGTGACCATTTTTTTGAAACCGTTGCCTGAAAAACCAAATTTTTCAAAAATTACCAGAATCCAAAAAAAAACATTTATTCGTATTTTCAGGAAGAGGACCTCCGTCGCTGGGTGGCCATGTTCTTGAAACGCAAGGAGCATGTCGAGACATTCAAAATTCTCGAACGTCTCGAAATCGACGGCGATGTGCTTCAATCAATCTACGAGAACAAACCTGCTCACACGACATTTGGAATCAATTTGGAAGACTTTGAAGCTATCCAGGCACACGCTCATGAGCTGTTCAAGGTCAACAAGAAAGTCAAGTACGAGCCTTGAAAGAAGGAAAATCTTCAAGTAATTATTGATCGCCGTTCTCCAATCCGTTCTCTGATACAAAGTTTCTCAGTTAATAAAATCCCGTCCTCATTCTTTTAATTGCCTTTTTCTATTTTAGAATTTCTTCGGTGTCTTACGTTTGTATAGTGGCTGACTTTTCACAATTAAAGCATTTTTGCCGGATATATTGAATAAATAATTACCGTAAAAACTCTATTAGATAGCCATGGCACTCTATTGTTAGAAGGTGGTCTGAGGTAGCACTGTATTAGGAAATGGCATTCAATTAGAGGCTGACACTTTATTGTTCGGAGCTAATTTCTACTGAAACTTATCACAAAAGTGCTCGATTTTCAATTCTTTCATAAAATGGCTTCCGAAGTTTTCTTGACTATTCTACTTATTTTTTTAGAAACTTTTAGAGTTTGATATTATCCTGACACATTTTTTACAAATTCAGTACCTTTTTTAAGCTTGAAAAACTAGAAAACCAGAAAATGATTATCTGTGTTATTCTTTAACTTTTACCACAGTGACATCAAATCCGCAGTGGCATTACATTAGGGGCTGGCACTCTATCGGTCGGAGATTCTCTGGGGTGGCACTATATTAGAGGCTGGAATTCAGTTAGGAATGGTTATCTAATAGAGTTTTTACGGTATCTAGAATTAGAGAATTCCAGTTTTGGAAAGTTTTCAGCTCAACCGAAGTATGCTATATAATATGTCGGAGACGTGTCTCAAGTTTTGGAACTGGATGGATTTGTTGAAGAGGATTTCGATATAAAAAAGCATCAAATGCATTATTTTCTGCAGGAATCAACAGTTTTTAAGTTTTCAAAATAAACAGCAAGTCAAAAAAAAAGAGATATTCGCCTCACTTTCCTCGAAAAACGTCAAAATTTGCTCATAAGGCCATGGAGTGCAAATTTTTGCTTAAGATGCAAATTTCAGTGCTTATTTAGCGCTGTTTCGAGCAAACGCTGCGCGTTTTTAGGCAAACTTAACGCGTTTTTTAGCCAAATTTAGGCAAAGGTTTCCAGTTTCGACGAGCAACTTTCAGAAACGACTTAAGCAAAGTCTAGCCAACCTTCGTCCAAAAGAAGACAGCAGCAGCCGAGTTCCATGAAACCTGTATTGAAACAGCCTCATTAATATAGATGGGCTCATCTAATAGAAAGGTCCTCCGAGAGGGGCGTGGAAAAATAGAAGGGCCCTCTTCAAAATGTGTTATTCGAGATCAAAAATTTCCATACGTTTTCAGTGAAAAATATCCCATAAATTTCAAGAATTCGAAGAAAATGGTAGAAAAACACTTTTTTTTGCAGAAAAATCTGCTCAGTTCGTAAATTTAATAGCTTTTCATAAAATGTTTCCCTAGAATTCACTGCATTTTTCGATGAACAATTTCTGAAAAAATGGGCGGGAAAACAGAATACAAAAATTAGTTTTAAAATTCAAGAAGAATATGTCACTTATCCAAAAGTTCCTTCAAGCAACTCTCCGCAATCATACGCCTGGTCACTCACCTATTTTTCATCTATTTTGATCTTGTTTTTTGATCTGACCTTGGCTACACGCAATAATCGTTCCGATGGTCCGTTCCCCCTCTTTTCCTCTGTCTGCGTCTCTTCTCTCTCGTCACTACAATGTGTGGGGCCTCTCTGTTCATTTGTAACTGTTCTTGTCTTACCGATCGATCATTTGTTTTTATTCCCTCATTTTCCTTTATCACCGCCCGGTTTCTGCCGAGTTTCCATTTTTTGGTAGAAGTTTTGTTTGTTTTTTTTGTGGTTTTAGGAATTTGTAGTTCGTTTTGGGAAAAGCGTTACTGTCAACAAATTTTCCAGTCACTAACTCTCTTTCAATTTTAGAAAATCTTCTTTTTACAATTTCCGTTTTTGAGAAGAAAAAAGGGAAAACTGATCCCTTTCAAAAACGGGAACACTTTCTCGCTTGCTCATCAAACTGTCTTTTAAATTTTAATGTTCAGAACAACTTGGCCCTCATCCTTTTGTGATGCCTGCTACCGACACTCCTCGAGAATCTGCCGTCTCTACTCACACACTTCCAGCCCTCCCATTCTCCATTTCAACGATCTTACAGGGACCGCAAACAGTACAAGAACCAATGAAGAACATCAAGGAGTTAACAAAAGCGACCCAAATGACAGTCGATCAGGTTCAAAAGCAATTTGTGAGTTTTTTTTTCCAAAATTTCGAGAAATGGTTCGTTCGCAGTTCGCAGACTAATAGGAGAAAAGTCGAATTAAAAAGTTGATATAGTTAATGGTATTAACTCATTCAAGCTCAATAACATTTTGTCGCGCAATTCATACCTTAAAAAAGCAGCCACGTTCTTTGTGGAACTGAAGTTTATGAATTTTCAGAAGTCTAACCACTTGATTCATTCGATCGAAAATTTGTTAGCACCGAGAACCATGGTCCGAAATACCAATTTTAGCCGAAGAAGTTTTTCGCCCCCACTTCCAATTCCAATTGAGGATGTCAGGAAAGAAGCTTTCGATCCAGAGTATTTGGATCATCTGGAAGACCAATCTGTTAAAGGATCTGTGGTGACAATTGAGGTACTTTGAACACGTTACCATAGGCTTTTGTAAACAGTTCTGCAATTTCTATTTCGAAAACTGTTCTGTCGTTATTAAAACTAAATCTCATTTTCAGAATTCTAATCAGTTGCGTCACTCGATTGTGAATTTGTTGGCACCGAGAATCAATGTTACTGTCCCAAATTCCAGTGCCTGCCGCATAAAGTTTTCCGGAAGCCAGCATCATTCTCAATCGTTTGCCAACAGTTTTTCGACTCATAATTCAATTCCACTTCCGATTCCGATTGAGGATATCAAGCAGGAGTCTGTAGACCCTGAATATCCAGATTATATGGATTACGAATATGTGAGAAATTCTGAAAATACATTCGAGGTACTTTAGAAACGCTCCTCAACGCGCTTGTATAACTTTATGATTTCAGAAGTTTGAAGGCACTCCAGACACTCAGTGTAAACACCATAACTCGTATAAGGAGCTGGTCGAATCGGGCGACGCCAGAATCCGTCGCAACACTATGGACGCGTTGCTGAGTGATTATGATGTGAATACAAATGGAAGACGATTTGAATACAGAATGGATGGAACGGAATCATGTGAAAATCACGTTGGACATATCGAGACAGAAGCAAGTCTCCAGGTATTCGATTCTGACGTGAACAATCCCCGATCCGCGAGTTCCTCAAGTTCCTCAACTCTCAAGAGTTATTCTTATTACGCGTCCGACGAGGAAATGGGAAGTGCTTCAGATGCCGAAAGTCAAGATTATTCCATCTTCGGACGTCCCACTTCCAAATCAACCATTTTGGGGCTTCCCTCTCCAGTTGCAAGCGAGGACTTCCGGAGCGTATTCTCCGTGAGTTTGAACTGAAAGATTCGAAATGATAAATAATAGTAATAGTGAAAATTTTCCTTACGACGCCACCATAGAAAAACCAAGCTTTAATTTCAGGATGATGATTTTCATATGGATTTTGAAGTTAAGGAAGAGCCCTCATGGGAAGTTAAGGAAGAGCCCTCCACTGACGAAGAACTGATCGATGGAAGCTATTTTTGCCAGTCAATCGCCAACGCCTTGCTTTCTTTTCCGGTCGTTCTCGACAGTATCAAACAGAAGGTCGACGACCCGAAATACTCGGATGTTTCATTCCAAAAAATAAACACAGACTCGGAAGTGACGATGAAGGTATTTTATTGCTTCCTTTTTTTCTGAAATTTATGTTTTAATTTCAGAATTTGGGAGATGAGAGCTGCTTGGATACGATCACATGTGCATCACACAAAGGTTCAATTTCTCAGAAGGACAAACCATCCAGCAGAAGCAGTTCTTCGTCGAATCATATTGTCATTCCACTTCCAGTCGCTCTGGCCGATATTAAGCAGGAAATCATTGACCCAGACTATCCGGATGAGCAATATAATAAATCGGTGTATGAATCTAAAATGACGATGGTACTTTGAACATGCTCCTCTACACTTTTGTATTACTTTCTGTTTTCAGGAGTCTAAAGATCTGAACGGAAGAGGCCAACTCGGAGAATCATCTGAAAACGGAAATCAATCCGACGTCTACACTCATGGCCTTTTTTCGGCCCTCCAGTCTCCAGTGTCATCTGCGAATCCGAATACCAATGATTATGAAGCTGCGCCAAACACACGTCTAGTGAGTTTTTGTATTTCAATTATAAAAATTCAAAACTTAAAGCTCAAACCGAACTGAATTCCCGTAATATAGTAAACTGTCAGTAATTTTATTTTGTCACGTAGTCATTCAACCATTTCACAATTGATAGATTTTCATTAAATCAAAGCGAAACTTTTTTACCTACTAATTATGAAGATACAATAATTTTGATAAATCTACTTGTTTTTACATCTAACTGTACATATCTCAACTGATGACATATGTTTTTCAGGGACAAGATGCATCGGCGGAAGCTCCTTCATTGTAAAGATTTTCGAACATCAAAATCTGCTTTGACCTCCACACTGATCAATATTATTATTTTATTGCCCTTGAATATGGTTAGAATTCTCTCGTATATGTATGTTGTGAAAAGTTTTATTAGACCTCTTTTTATCTTCCGTATTTATGCTCATTCCCCTTCTTCTAGAATAATTCCTGAATTAAAAGACCTACCCATTCAAGAGCTATTCTGAGTCCTTTGTCAAATAGTTTCTCCCACCATCTCCATATGGTTTCCTTTAATCTTGGTGATAGTGTTGATACTATTATTTGAAAAGTTTTAATTTCTTGTTTTTTAGAAATTATCTAATAGACACGTGTCATTGAACCCCTGTGAGTGAGATCTCCACCCCCCCCCCTTTATCAAATTGCGCTTATAATTATGTTATTATGTCCTCCCATCACATTTTTTGATAATTTTTCTCATGTTTTAGAAATTACAAAAGTTGGTAATCTCAGCTGAGAATTTCATTTATTTTCCCCGATTTGCCATTTTATCCGTTTATTTGAATCTCTGTCCTTCGTGAATAATTTCCAGTGAACCAAACATGCTGGTATTTTTAAATTTTCCACTGATCTCATTATCTAGTATCGCCCAATACATGTGTAACCCCAATTGATCAATACAGAAGAATGCACGACAAACAATTGAAGACTCTTTCTTAAAATACCGAGAACACTAATTGAATGCCACTTTTTACTTCCACTTTGAGCCCGAAGTGAAAGTATAGAGTAGCCTTCTATTCAAGTGCTTACGGCAGTTTTCTTATTATGAAATGTCTAAAATAATATGTTAATTTTTGAAAAAAGCAATATCATATTTTTTGGAATTTCAATACTTCTTTTTCTGATTCGAGGTCGGCCAATCATGGAGAGCTTCCACTTTGGGTGATTGCTGTGAAGACCTAGACTACTGCATGGGATTTTAAAGCTTGTTGAAACGTATGATGTATGATGCGGGAGACATTATGTCTGCCTTATCTTCTGTGGTTTCAAAAAATACAGTATCACAGACTTCAAGCTATCTGTTGTGGAGTTCAGTGAATGAACTAAAAACAACTTATTCTCACGAAGCTGTCACACCTGAGCTTCATTTACTAGCTAATCATGTTACTTCGTTCATCGAGTTGCATGCATGTGAGGAAAAACAATCGATTGAGCATTTTCACAGTGAGATTACACTGCGTAAGCAGGCGTATGAACAAATCCGAAATTTATCAAAAGTATACGCTGCCATGGCTCAATATCAGGCACTACGGAACTATCAACATGACACGAATGAAACAATGACAATTCGCTTTCAGTTTTTCAAATATTTTTTTTTGTTTTTTTTCAATATTAAAAGACTTACCATTTTTTCCGTTTTCCGTTTTTTCACCATCTTCTTCGATGACAACTTCCTCTTGTCCTCTGTTTTTAAACATCAAGGGCAAAAAATAAAATGTTCGACTTCTCGATATAGTTCATGAAACACAACAGTACACAGAATTTTTATTATTTGAAATCATTTATTATTAAATAACAACATCAATTTAACAAATTTAGAGACAAGAAACAGCGATTCCGTTAAATTTTTCTCTGTTTTTTTAAAATTAAATTGAGATGAAAAAAATACCGAAAATTTTCTGTGCCGCACCCGCAGAAACCACGCGGGGCGTTGCAAACTCCGCCTATTACAACCCTCTTCTTCCCCCCAGCATATTTCTTACGCTGTCTAGCCGTTCAACCATCTTCTTGTTGCCTAGTCTTTTCTCTTTTCTTTTCCACCTCTTCCCCGCGCGTAGTCTTTCTCCATTTTCCATCGTAAGTTTTCGCGCCTTTTTCATTTAAAAACCATAATTTTGGTGTTCCATCCAATCCTATTTTTGTTTTTTGATGTTCTATTGCGCAATTTTTGGCCTTCCACTTCTGGATTGATTTGCAGCAGCGTTTTCATTGTTTTGAGCACGCTTTGCAAAGTTTTTGTCACTTAATTTTTTTCTAAATTGAAATCTTCCCTCTTTCGCTAACTTCCTTCTCACTCAATCTCGAATTTGAATTTTTAACTTATAGCTCAACTTTTCCCCAATTTTCAGGTAAAAATCATGAACAACCATGCTCCTCCGGAGGCTACTGGCCCATTGGAAAAGCGCATCAAAATCGAGCTAGTGGACCCAGATTTTCCACCAAGCAAGCCACCAACTCCACCTCCAAAACCGGCAGCTAAGTTCTATCTGCCACCTGGAAAATCAACCAACGTGTCGTTGTGGACTGTAAGTTCCAATTTTCGAAAATTCGAACTCTGAGAATCTCAGAGGCAAAAACCGTCACTCATAGAGAAACAAAATCAGCAATTTGCTGCGGCACCTGCAATTAACAATGCTGCCGTTTTCTAGTCCATTTTTCTAGTCCTCTGCCAGCCGAGCGAGACCCATTCAGAAAATTCCACGCTTCTTTAATCTGAGCTCGAGAAATTTCTTCAATATTGAATTCGAATGGGATTTCCTGCAACGGTCTTGCTCGGTTGGCCGTGGACTAGCGAAAAAGTCTAGAAAAATTTTGCATTTTTGATGGACGATGCAGCATCGAATTGGGGATTTTGGTTTTGCCTGAATCACAAAAAAAAAACCAAAGAATTGATAGCGTCTTTCCCTCTGAAAAAAGTTTCAAGGTCCTTCTTCTTTATTCCAGCAATATCTGCATGAAAATGAAAATGTCTCAAAATCGCCATTAAAACACAGTTTCGATGCCCTTAGAGAGCTGAAAACAGGGCTATCGAACAGTTGGCCGCAATTTTTTTTAAATAGCGCTTTCGTTATGGTCAACAGCAAATTGCGCATGACCTGGATCATGTTTTTGACAGCCTTGCCTACAGAAATCGAAATTTACGAAAATTTGCAAAATCAGAAAAATGTAATTCATTGGTATTTTCAGGTAGAGGATGTTCGTCTCTGGGTGGGAAAGTTCTTGAAGCCCAGCGAGCATGCCGAAACATTCAGAACTCTCGCGGAGCTCAAAATCAACGGCGCTGTTATCAAATCCATCTACGAAAAAAAACCAGCTCACACGACATTTGGAATCAATTTGGAAGACTTCGAATCGATCCAGGCGCACGCTCACAAGCTTTTCAATGTCAGTACACAGTATTTTATTATTTGAAAGCATTGATTATCTACAAAAATTATTATTTGAACAAATTAAGAGACAATTTAAAAACAACAATTTGATTGCATTGTTCTTTCGTCTTTCAGTAACTTGAGATGAAAAAAGATACGAAAATTTTTGTGCTGCGCCACTCAGAAACCATGCGGTGGCGTTTCAAACTACGCTTATTAAAGTCGGAACGAAGGAGAAAGCACTCGACTTTTCCGCTAACTTCCTTCTCCCTCAATCTCAAATTTTGACCTCTCAACTCAATTTTATTCAAATTTTAGATAAGAATTACGAACAACTACTGGGACGACCCTGCCTATGAGTATTTCCTTCCCAATAACATTCATTTCCGACTCGCCGGACCAGCTGAATTGAATCCACCAGAGGTTCCTGCAAATTTGAATGCTGCTCCAGAGGCTGCTAGCCCGTTGGAAAATGACATCAAAATTGAGCTAATGGACCCAGATTTTCCGCCAAGCAAGCCACCTACTCCTTCTCCAAAACCGGAAGCCAAGTTCTATCTTCCACGTGGGAAAACAACCGATGTGTCGTTGTGGACTGTAAGTTCCAATTTTAGGGAATTAAAAACCTGAGAATCTCAGAGACGAAAACAGCTTTTCGTAGAGAAGCAAAATCTGCCGTTTGCTGCGGCCGCTAGAATCAAAAATGCTGGAGTTTTCTAGTTTTTTTGCTAGTCCACTGCAAGCCGAGCGAGATGTATTCAGACGATTCTACGATTCTTTAATCTGTGCTCGAAAATCGATTTACTATTGAAGTCGCATGGGATTTCCTGCAACGGTCTTGCTTGGTTGGCCATGGACTAGCGAAATGGTCTAGAAAACTCCTGCATTCTTGATGGACACGTCAGCAGCAAATTGAAGATTTTGCTTCATTCTGCATACAAAAAAAAACCAGAAATTTGCTCGTTTTTTCCCTCTGAAAAATTGCATTAAGGCAAAAGCAGCGGCTCTCAGATTTTCATAAGCCTTCTTCTTTGTTTTGTCAATATCTGCATTGAAATGAAAATGTCTGAAAATCGCTACTCTTCAAAAACATAGTTTCGATGCGCTGGAAAAGCTAAAAACATGACTGCCAAACAGTCGACCGCAATGAACAGCAGATTTGTGAACGGCACGTTGCACACGGCCTGGACCATATTTTTAACAGCCTTGCCTACAGAAATCGAAATTTACGAAAACTTGCAAAATCAGAAAAATAAAATTCTTTTATATTTTCAGGAAAAGGATGTTCGTTGCTGGGTGGCCAAGTTCTTGAAGCGCAGTGAGCATGTTGAGACATTCCGAACTCTCAAGGAGCTCAAAATCGACGGTGCTGTGATCGAAACGATCTACTTAAACAAGCCAGCTCACACGACATATGGAATCAACTTGGAAGACTATGAGACTATCCAGGCGCACGCTCACAAGGTTTTCATGGTCCGTACACAGTATTTTATTATTTAAAAGAATTTATTACCTACAAACAATATTGATTGAACAAATTAAGAGATAATTGAGAAACAACAATCCCATTGAATTTAGTAACTTTTTTTCAAATTTTAGATACAAATCAAAATTTTTGATGAAAGGAAACGAGTTTTAAATTTCGTTTAAACATAAGAAATGCTCAAAATAGCAAAAAAAGCCAAATGTTTAAGATTCAAAGATCAAGTCATTACCTCCATTGATGAATATATTCATTTTTCGAACGAAAGTTTGCAGTTTGAATGGGTGTCTATTAGAGGAAAAACGGTACTTTACTGTCTGATGATTAAACTATGAACCCTAACTGTCCTGTACACACCGTAACTAATAACCATATTTGCAACGGGCCGGGACGGGCTTTTTTCAAATTTTCCAGGACCCGGCCAGGCTCGGCCCGAGTTTTCAGGAACAAATCTTTCCTGTCTTTTCAAAAAAATTTTTCGCGGTCAACTGAAAAAATGGACGATTTTTCTGTCAAATAAAAAACTTTTCAAGATAAAAGTGTCCATAAAAATAGTTTTTTTCACAAAAAATTTGAAAAAATGTCTGAAATTTCAAAAAAATTTTCAAATTTGGAAAACCCGACCGGGCCCTGGAAATCTTCGGCCCTGATTTTGCAAGTATGCTAATAACATATGTTTTTCAGGCCCAAGATACATCGGGCATAAGATGGCTGCAATCACCGTTCAGATGGTTCTAGTTTTGTCACCAAGAACCTATCATTTTTCGAATCCTTCCCCCCCCCCCTTGATCTATCATCAATTTGTTGATATTTTTATTTGTTACCCTTTTCAGCTACCGTATTTTATGCATATTGTCTCGTCAGCATGTCATATTTATTTGAGCCAGTTTTACCCGCTTCCTCAAATCTTACATCCGCTTTAATGTGACCTCCGTTTCCAAAGTTGTTCTAGAATTGACAGTAATTCGTTCTCCACCCATTATCACTTTCTGATAATTTCCCTTAAAAGTTTGAAACAGTTCATAATTGTTTTACATTTTTCTGGATTATCTTTCTCGATTTCATCTGCTCATTCAAATCTGTCTCATGTGAACATTTTGCCGCAAACCAAATTCTGCTGGTGTTTTTGATAATTCTCTGCTTTCATTATTCATAATCACCTGATACATATGTAATCCTAATTATTCAATAATGTGACAAACAGTTGAAGAATTTTTCCGAGAAATTTTTCCGTAACCACTCTAATAGAAAGCTACCACATACTTCTATTTTTGGCTCGATTATCTCGATTTCTGTAAGAGATAACAAAAATGTGTCAACTGATGAAGTGTTTGTCATGATATCACCAACATTTTTATTTGTTGATGAGATTTTGATATTTTTCATGGAAACCAAGAAAATTTAGCTCAAAGTGCAACTATAGCATACTTGTGGAAAAGATGGCCGGCCCGCGGGCCGGCCCGCTTTTTGAAAATTTCGAAATTTTAGAGCAAATCATCATTTTTCAAGATGGCTTTTCTCCTTAATAAATGAAAATCCACACTAGAGGACGATTCTGCCAAAAAAAAAACTGTTTTGAGGTCGTTTTTAGAAAAAAAATTTCATCCTTGGCTTAATGAAGTTTGACTTTTTTGCTAAAAATTCAATTATATTAACTTTTTCGGATGGTTGTATGCATTTGGATTAATATTTGTGCTATTATATTGGCACATTTGAAAAGTAACATTTTCGAAAAGTTGTCCTAGGCGGGCCGAGGGTATTGAGAAAAGCGGGCCGGCCCGGCCATCCACATGTATGATTATTTTGATGAAAAACGCATTGAAAATTGATGAATTCCTTCCTGAACTTGGAATAACCGTGAAACCTATAATAGAAAGACCCCCAACTTTCAATTTTGAGCCAATTAATCTCAGTTGCTGTCAAATATATGGAAAAGTTGTTTACTCATAAATTGTTTATCATAATATCAGAAGTGTTTTATCAATTGACACATTTTCGATTTTTCTCGTAGGAGCCGAGATAATAGAGCTTAAACTACGGGTTTTACGGTAGTTTTTTTCGTTTCAATGCGATCTGGAAGTTTTGGTACTGATGTTTTGCAAAACAGGAAAAGCGGAAAACGAAACCATAAAACAAAAGAAAAAAGTAAAATATTATCGAGGGATCGTCACAATCATAATATTTTGCAATAAAATAAGAGTATATAAAGGACGGGTAAAGAAGAGAAACCTCAGAAAAGCCAGTTCGTCCCGACCGAACAAATTTCTGTGATACAATGGAAAAATTACTTGCTCTTATTATTCTCCATGTAAAGTCGATCTTGATCGACATTTTTCATGGTAAGTTCACAATTTGCAACAGTCGATTAACCTTAAACTTCAATTTCAGAGAAGCAGCTTTACTCCACTTGCTCTGAAAACGGCCCAATCGCGGGGGGGGGGGCGATCATATTGAAATTCTTCATTAAATCATGAATTTAAAATATAAATAAAGTTGTCGATCACTCAGAAAGTTTTAGAACTATTGTTTTACAAAAAATGCTATTGACATATTTTCTACTTCGAACGGTGAGAAATCCTTCTCTCAGATAGATCTGGCCGGAGCATATTTTCAGATTGAACTTGATGAGCAAGTATGCTGTGCATAACACGTACAAACGATTTTATTGGTACACTCGTCCACAATTCAGAGTCAAATCAGATTCAGGATTGTCCCAGCAAGTATTTGGTTTGATGATTACTGGTCATTCCTTGGATTCATTCTATTCTATGAATCATTTATCAAGAAGTTGTTCAAGCTCCGCTCATCATTGGATGCCCCCTCCAAGAAGGATGTCAAGTTCCAATGGACTTTTCAATGCCAAGCATCATCTGATCGCACCAAGTAAGTCCGCCGTCCCGAGTTGTTCATGATCTCACAATGTAATTCCTGATCAAATCCAGCAATTCCTGATCAAATCCAGCAAAAGGAATGTGAGGATCGTGTCGTTGCTCAAGTGGAATCAGAAGTCGTGACAAATTTGGTATCTACCTGCGAGGAACTACCTATGACTGCAGACATGTTCCGAGCTACCTCTAAGAAGGATACACTTCTCAGTCAAGTCTATCAGTACACTGAATGGCCAAGCAGAACGTGTCGTGGACAGACTCAAACGGAGTTTGGGCAAGTTAAAAGCACACTTGTGGAAAAGATGGCCGGGCCGGGCCGGGCTGAGATTTTTCTGAAAGCGGGCCGGGCCGGGCTGGAAAGGATTACACATGGCCATCCCGCGGGCCTTTTTGAAAATTTTGAAATTTTAGAGCGAATCATCATTTTTCAAGATGGTTTTTCTTTTTAGTGAATTAGTGAAATGCACAATAGAGGCCGGTACTCTCGACAAAAACTGTTTTAAAGTCGTCATTAGAAAAAAAGTTTCATGTTGAAGCGGTTTTTCGCGTTGTTTTTTTTTTCATTTCATAGCGTGTCTACTATGTCTTGTGTTTTACAACTTCGCACATTTGCAACTGAAGTTTTTGAAAATTTTTTCCAGAAACACGGATTTGTTAAAAACACTTTTTTCTTCACGAAACTTCTGAAAAACAGTCACGTGATCATAGATAAGAAAGGGTATAATTGAATTCTTGTTTTGTTCTTGTCTCATTCACACTACAGTGTTCTTCAGCCACAATTATCACGTTTTCATTTTGTCGTCATCTAAAAAAGTGATTATCTCATCTATATCTTTTTGTGGGAAAAGTGACAAGGTATTCATTTGGTCATTCTCTTTGAGTGACATTGGAAACAAAAAGTTCGTTCGAGGTATGTGATGGGTGCATAGGAAAAATTGAAATGGTGATGAAATCATAGGGTGGGAATAAATATGCTGGCAACAAGTGTATGTACATTTTATATTAATTCAGATTTAGCACAAATCCGTTTTTATAAGATCAGTGATATTGCGCTGGACGCTGTCTCCCTCCATCAGCTTGCGATCAAACTTCGCAAACGCTTGAGCGCTTCCGACGCGTTTTGCATGAGCCGTGTAGCACACGCTTCCGCGACATGCGACGTATTTCCAGTTGACAGTGGTTTTCGATGAGATCGTTGTTGTCTTAGTGTCAGAGAAGTCAAAGTTTCTGAGTTCATTGAATGTACGTTTCTCGTAGTTCAAGAGATCATCCAACTCATCTGGTCCACCTGAATACATTATGATGAAAAATAGGTCTTCGAAAGTATAGAATCACCTTCGAAGTGAACATCAATACTGCGAATGCCCTCCGAGGTGAAACGATGCATGAAGCACGGGAACCAATATGGGACCACATACAGTCCGTCAGAGTGTTGAATATCCACATATTTTCTATCGTCAACAATGACGATCCATTGTTTTGCCTTGAGAGAGATTTTGACCCGTTTATCTGCATGAGTGTTTTCCCATGGGCAGTGTTTAAACATCAGTGTCATGATTTCTGGGGATTTGTTGAACAAGCTATTGCCAAAGTTTTCAAGATGATCTGTAAAATATTTGTTTCGTATAATTTTATTTTGATTATCTGTTTCCTATACATTGTTTTCAAAGTTATTCAAAGTTCTTGTGAACGTGAATGGAGCTTCAATGCCGAATTTCATCACAAACACAATAATTTTTAGTTGAAACCTGCTGGATTTTTGTGAGGTGGAATACCGTATTTGTTTTAAAAACGCTAGCTCTATACGTACACTTTAAGCTAAATTATCTTGGTTCTTTCGAAAATTTTACTGATAAATCATTATCTATCACCAATGTTTTTTTCAGTTGAAATATTTTTATTATCTCTTATGTAAACCGAGATAATTAAACTCTACGTATAGTGTGGGCTTCCATTAGATTAAATAAAGCACCTAATATTCTTGACAATCATTGATAAACTAGTCAGAAAATAAGATAACAATTTTTAAAATTCGGTGAAATATGATGTAAGAGCTTAGGCAGAAAACCGTTTGATATTTGAACTTTGAGCTCAATAGTTTCAGTTTTTGTGAGTGATACAAAAAGCCTGAGATTCATAAAAAATACTGAGGACACTATGACAAAAATATTTTAGTGAACAACACTTTGATATTTTGGGTGAAACCAATATATGTTTTTTGAAACGTAATATTTTTTTATGAAACCCTTAAATGTACTCTATAACCTGTAGTGTAAGAACTTCGCATCATTAGTTTTGACTTAATTTATCTTGAATACTGTTAGATTATCAGAAAATGGCCAACTAATAAAATTGTTCAAATGAGATAATAAATATTTTGATAGTTGACCACTTTTTGATACCTTTGTTAGGAACCAAGATAAATTTGATTGAAACTGCCAGTATGGTGAGTTTTCCATTATAATACTTCTGTTGAAATTTTAGAAGATTTCTAGAATTTCTGATTGTTTGAAAAATCTCAGAAAAATTATATTTCAAAAAAGACTCACGTGTTTTGAGAAAATCGATAAAATTCTGATTAGTAGGGGCAATGTCGGAAAGAACTTGACGGAGAGCCTTGATACGGAGCGATTCCAACGGATCTCCTCCCATGATGTGACGCATACTATCATCAATGACATCCACCATCATCATTGTGGACTTCTTTACATGCTCTGGCAAGTGGCAGATGATGAGATTGAGACAATTGCTCTGTTCTGCGGATAACATTTTTCTGAAAATTCGAGAAAAAGTTAATAATCTGGGTTTTAATACATAAGCAATACTAGTCAATAAGATATATAAAAACGTATTTTCAGTCACTTTCAGGAGTGTGGAGCTCGACTGTCGAGTTTTCGATAACTTTGAAGGTTTTGGAAGATTTAATACGTATTCATATTAAAACTTTCAGCTACTTGCAGATTTTTGAAAGACACTGCTTTTCGGCCCGTTTTTGTAATGAAAAAGTAAAAAATCCCAGTTATCTTTCCAAAATCGGGAGACAAATGAAAACTAGAAATTTGCGAATTCCAAATTTTTCAATCTAGGTTTGTTTTACACTCTCCGAAGTTGGCTAATTGATCGAAAACTTGACAACCGAGCTCCAGACGCCGAAACGTGGCGAAATATCTACTGAAAAAAATACGTTTTTATATATCTCATTGACCAGCACTGACATTTCGCCGACTCGTATCACCATGACAGTCGTATGATATGAGAAACAATCATGTTCGAGAATGTTGGTATAAAAGTGGAAGTAGGAACAAAAAACAAACGGGATGACGGCGTTTGTATCAGAATGCGAGGAAGAAAAAGGGAAGAGAAAGAGAACCCCCACAAAAAAGGCGAAAAGATAAAATCATCGCTGTATCCAGTTCCACAACACATGTGATCGGAGGAGGAGAAAAGGTTGGGAGAGAGAGAGGAAGAACAGAAGAAAGGAGTTCATTAACTGATCTACCAGAGATTATATACAAAGAGACGGAGCAGCTACTTGGCGATGACAAACATATTTTGACAATGGTGGTCGTTTGAATTTTTGAATCATATGAACTCCATATTGATGAGGGAAACAAGGTGGGGGGGCAATGTACATGGTCAGTTCATTGATTGATAAGAAATTTGAATTTTCGAGCCTTATCACTGAATGTAAGTCGTAAAACTGCTTCTTCGTGACATGCTGACCAGGAAAAAAAAATTTTATTGCGCTTGTCAACGACGCGAACACAGGTTGAGATCTAAAAAAGAGGGATAAAGAAAAAGAAATATATTATTTTTCCCCGTCCTGTTGGAAAACGAATAGTTTCGGAGTGCTTATGATGCCCGAATAGAGAAAAAACTGGAGAAAGAAAAACGTTGGGGGTAAGTCAAATGAACTCTAGTCCTTTCTCAAAAAGAGACATGATGCAAACATTAGAAAGTATGTAAACAACTGAGAAAAAGAAACAATAAAAACAAATTTATGTTTCTGTGTTTCTTATCAGGCGCACAACTAGTCAACAAAATATAATTGATCACAAAGATAAAAGAAAAATATCTCTACCAATTTTTGAGTGTGGTGAAAAAATTTGAGTCCCCGGCAGGACCAAAATTCAACAAGTATTCGTGAAAATACAATAAGAGGACCAGCAGGCTTAAAAATTTCGAACAGTTTATCTTGGTTCTTGTTGAAAATATCAAAAAGTGGTCAACTTACAAAATGTTGTCAATGTTATCACACACATTTTTTCAGTTGACTACTTTTTGATGCCTGTTGAAGAAACCAAGATAAATCAGTTCAAACTTGACAGTATGGAGGCCCTCCTACTACAGGCTTTATGGAATAAATTTCCATGATGATGAGAAATTTTGAAAATTTAAATCTGGAAAACAAGTGTTCAGTACTTCTAACAAAAATTATAGTAATAGTCAAAGTGCCGCCAGGCAAAAAAAGTCTCAACTTTCTATTGAATAAATGTTGATAGAATCCTTTAGATACACAAAACCGATGAAACCAAAAAAATCCGTTCCAAACAACACAAATTGTGCTGAATGTAAACTTTGTAGAGAACAATTAGTTTAAATTGAAAGAATTGGATTTTGAAAAAAATTTCGGTTTGAAAACATTAGATTTCAATGTTTTTCCAATTTGAAAAAAAAAAGATTTTTTAATCCAAAATACCAACTAGAGCCGAGAATGTTTGCTATGTGTCTTATAAAGAAACCTTGAAAATTTGAAGGACACTGAAACGGATCATTTCGGAGAGTAAGCAGAAAACATCTGGTAATAAGAAGCATATGCGTCATCCGTAGACGTAAGGCCGCAAATGCTAACCGAGATTAACCTTGATGTTGTTTCGCTGTCTGTCTTCAGGAAATGCTAGACTTGAAAAGAAAACAAACATTTTTATTTTTCAGAATTTCACACAATGAATTTCTCGAGAACTTTTTTCATCGAAAAAATATGTTTAGATTCATGTGAAAATGAACAATATTTCAACCAAGTTTTGAGGATAAATTGAAGAGATTTTCGAGGTGAACTCTGAAGCGAATTTCAAAATACTACTCATTTGTGAAGCTAGAGAAAAACAAAACACCCTACTGCACAAACAGAAAAAAGCTAAATCTGGTCAGTAATAACAAGAGAGGTAGCAGTCGAAAATAATTAGGATATCGAGACGTAGGCATTGTGCGGGTTGGCTAACATGAAAAACATCTAGGACGTTATCTCGAGAAACATGTACATAAACTACACATTAAAGAACAATTTTCCATATCGAGATCAGCTAGGATCACCTGAGACCGTTTTTCCTTGCAACATTATTTCCTTCTAAATTTTTCGAAAAAATTAAGATTTCAAAGGTAATTTATGACACTGTGAATAGGAAAATTTTTGAAATGAGTAACAGTAAATGCTCCCGCTTCAATTTTTTTTTGGAAAATGACCAAGTTGTTTTTTTGAAAAAAAAAGATGTTACAGGAAAAAAGATTATGAATACTGCTCCTGGTTCGTGTGGGAAAAACTAAAAGTCACTTTGTCACAAAGCATCATTTTTAAGATTAAATTAGGTTTGAAGCTGGCAAGAAATGTTCAATTTCGCTAGCAGAAAGATAGAACGATCTCAAAACATGTCATTTTTGCAGATCTAAATAAAAAAAACAATTCTGAGCGAAATGCGATGGCAACAAAACAAAACATGTCTTTCGCTGAAGCATCGTAAAATCATGTTTTTGAGGAATTTGCTCGGGCAACCGAGAATCTTGATTAGATAGTAAAATTACTGTGACGTTTTAAAAATCTTTTCAACGTACACTGGTAGCCTAGGAAATTCAAATCCAAGACAAAATTCGGAAAAAAGTTTGAAATTTTGAAAAACTGATCCTGAGAATTAAGACAAGTTATAGAAAAAATAACAACAAATACTGATTCTCAAAATTTTTTGACTAACGAATCTTTCAACATGAATGAGCCCAACTCTAAAACTCACCAAAACTTCAATCTGTCGAGAAACGTGACTTGAAGAAGAACATTTTGTGTGGTGTGGCGAATAAAAAACAATTAGTCTGATATCAAGAAGCATGCGTAGCGGCTCCGCGGAGATCGAAAACTATGTGTTAAGTCATCCATCCAAACCTTTTGGTAAGTTGTATTTATAGGTGAATATGACGTTGACCGATATGGACAAAAACTTTCAAGTCTTGTCATATATCAGGCCTAGATAGATTATTCACAAGAACCCTACATCTAGTTTTCTGCAGGAACAGAACATTAAAAGTCCCAGCTCAAGATAATTCAGTAAAACCAGCCCGAGGACCGATGGCTTCACAATATCTAGATTTTTTGATACCAGTCGATTTTCGCTGCTTGTTTGATGATAAACTTCATTAAAAATATGTATAAGCTAAGAAACTGTGATGGAGAACAAAAAATCCTCGAAAATCTATTATAACTTTGGAGCTACTTCGAGAATCCAGGAATTAAAAAAAATTGAATTCGAAAATTCAGAAAAAAATTGGATGTCAGTACAAGCCTGAAACTTTGAATTTGGAAACGCGAAAAATTGAATTCATGAATAATATTGAAGTCGAAAGCTAAATTTCCAAAACCGAGAAACGTATAAAATTGAGAATTTCGAACATTCAGAGACTAAATTTAAGGATAACTAAATTTAGGGGAATAAATTACAAAAAATTGAAAAACCGGAGTTCTCCAATTACTAAATTTTGAATTTCAGAAATACGGAAATTGAGAGATAGAGAAATGCTTCAAAACTTACTAGGGAATGGTCAGAATTTATCTCGCGATCAGGACACGCAAGTGAATTCACTGAAAAGAAGGTTGCTCCCTGATTCCAGAACAGTTTTCAAATTTTGCTGAATGGCCCGGAGAGCCGAGATATTTCTGCTCAAAAATCAAGCTGTAAACCATGTGAATCTCGTTTTTGATTTTTTGATTTGCTGCTTCCCCTCTTTTTTTTTCCTTCCCTCGAACACCTCATTCTTATCCGTCACCTCAGGCCACTACAGAATGCTGTTCTGTGGCCGAGTGGTGTGTGCGCTTGTCTAGGAATCTGCTTTTGCGGGTTCAAATCCTCTTCGTTTTAGAGCAGGCGGGCGTTGGTCTACAGGCGCCTACTTCTCGTGGTATTCGCAACAATGAAGAGTCGTGGACAGAGAAGGAGGAGGTCGAAAGAGGGAGAGAGGGGAGGGAAACCCACACACTTGTACACCATTTCTACCATGTTAGATGTGGTGATCCGTGGTGCAGTGCTCAACGCACCACACTATTGCCCGCGGGTTCGAGTCCCACAGGAGTCCCAATCTTTTTGCTTTTTCTTTTAAAGTTCAGAATTTGCGAAAAAAACTGCCTGAATGTTTTCAAATCGGTTTGAATAAAATCGGAAAAAAGTAATCTCAAAACCTTTGAGTTTTCAAATTTTCGAAATTCGGAGTTTTGGAATTCAAGGCTTTCCCAATTTCTTTTTTTTTATCTCTAAACTTCAAAATTCACGTATTTTGAATTTTAGAAACACGGATATGCAGAAATTTCTAGTAAGGGGCTCGCGATCGGGACAAGGGCTTACTACGGGTTCCGAAAATCATGATAAAAAGTATAAAAAATCATTAAATGATCCAATAACAGAAAAACGAAAAGTTTAAAACGAGGAGGATTCGAACCCGCAAAAGCAGATTCCTAGACAAGCACACACACCACTCGACCACAGAACAGCATTCTGTAGTGGCCTGAGGTGACGGATAAGAATGAGTGTTCGAGGGAAGGAAAAAGGGAGGAGAAGCAGTAAATCAAGAAGTCAAAAGCGAGATTTACATGGTTTACAACTTGATTTTTAAGCACAAATATCTCGGCTCTCCGGGCCATTCAGCAAAATTTGAAAACTGTTCTGGAATCAGGGAGCAACCTTCTTTTTCACTTGTATGTCCCGATCGCGAGATAAATTCTGACCATTCCCTAGTAAGTTTTGAAGCATTTCTCTATCTCTCAATTTCCGTATTTCTGAAATTCAAAATTTAGTAATTGGAGAACTCCGGTTTTTCAATTTTTTGTAATTTATTCCCCTAAATTTAGTTATCCTTAAATTTAGTCTCTGAATGTTCGAAATTCTCAATTTTATACGTTTCTCGGTTTTGGAAATTTAGCTTTCGACTTCAATATTATTCATGAATTCAATTTTTCGCGTTTCCAAATTCAAAGTTTCAGGCTTGTACTGACATCCAATTTTTTTCTGAATTTTCGAATTCAATTTTTTTTAATTCCTGGATTCTCGAAGTAGCTCCAAAGTTATAATAGATTTTCGAGGATTTTTTGTTCTCCATCACAGTTTCTTAGCTTATACATATTTTTAATGAAGTTTATCATCAAACAAGCAGCGAAAATCGACTGGTATCAAAAAATCTAGATATTGTGAAGCCATCGGTCCTCGGGCTGGTTTTACTGAATTATCTTGAGCTGGGACTTTTAATGTTCTGTTCCTGCAGAAAACTAGATGTAGGGTTCTTGTGAATAATCTATCTAGGCCTGATATATGACAAGACTTGAAAGTTTTTGTCCATATCGGTCAACGTCATATTCACCTATAAATACAACTTACCAAAAGGTTTGGATGGATGACTTAACACATAGTTTTCGATCTCCGCGGAGCCGCTACGCATGCTTCTTGATATCAGACTAATTGTTTTTTATTCGCCACACCACACAAAATGTTCTTCTTCAAGTCACGTTTCTCGACAGATTGAAGTTTTGGTGAGTTTTAGAGTTGGGCTCATTCATGTTGAAAGATTCGTTAGTCAAAAAATTTTGAGAATCAGTATTTGTTGTTATTTTTTCTATAACTTGTCTTAATTCTCAGGATCAGTTTTTCAAAATTTCAAACTTTTTTCCGAATTTTGTCTTGGATTTGAATTTCCTAGGCTACCAGTGTACGTTGAAAAGATTTTTAAAACGTCACAGTAATTTTACTATCTAATCAAGATTCTCGGTTGCCCGAGCAAATTCCTCAAAAACAAGATTTTACGATGCTTCAGCGTAAAAATGAGAGTATATTGTCTCGCGCGGGAGTTTACACTAATTCAGATGTATATTTTCGAACTCATTAATTAATTAATTATCTGTTTTCATGAATATTGAAATTTTTATAATGTGACGATATGTTTTTTGGACTAAAATTTTTCGCTGATTCCGAATATGATATTTTCAGATCAAAATATTTACTTTTTTTCAAACTTGTTTTTGAATACTTGAACACAAATTTTTATTGAATAAAAGAAATATTCTTATATTTTTTCTTGGACTTTTTGAAATTTTCTCTGAAATTTTTGAGTGTACTTTTTGGGAAGACAAAGCGACGGCTTCTTTGTATGTGTCACTATGTTTGGTCCTTGTCTGCGTCGTTTCCGCAGCACATTATTTTTTTTCTCTGTCAGTTGTTGAGTATTTTTTCGAACAGTACTCATTCTATCTTACTTGACTACCGGCTGATAGGACGTCTTTTTTGATTTTCGTAAATATTCCTTTTTTTTTAAAGTTATTCTATTATTCTAATATTATCAATGGCTGAATTCGACGTTACCGTCTGTCTGAACAATTTGCTGGACCAAGTGGAGGAGCAGATGGAGGAATACGAGACGATGCGAGGAAGTGTTTTGAGTGAAATGATTTTTTTGTGGGTGTAGGAGTAAATTTTAAATTTTGATAGGTCCAAATGAGCGGGGCTTTGCTCCGGGAACTCCAAAAAGTAGTCACTCGGGGTCACGGACCATTCCGGAATTTGATTACAATTGTAAATCTACGTCTTAGTATACCGAATTCGATAACGACTCATCCGCAGGGTCCCGAAATATTTGCGGATGCCCTTATTGAGAAAATCAATAAGTCAAAGACGAAAATCAATAAGTCAAAGACGGATACCAATCCGGAGAGGAGGAGGACGAGGAGGAGCAGAATCAGCTCCTGGACGAGCTCTGTGGCCTGATGGAGAAGCTTAAGGTAGTTTTTACTACTTAAGAATTTGATATAATTCAAAATTTTCAGATCGAATGATCCAGGAAATTTCCAAGTTTATTTATTTCTTTTTTTCCGAAAATTTTTTTTTTGAAACTTTTCAGACTTTAACAACAAAAAAAATAAATTACAAAATTTCTTTTGGGAAACATTCTCAGAAAGAGGAACAGGGTAATAAAAAAAACCAGACCTAGCAAAAAAGTAGACTCTGTGACTAATTATCAGAGAATTTCCTCCGATTTTTCTCATTTTGCAGCTAAAAAGAACCTAAATGACCCAAAAAATGTCAAAAAATATATATTATTTTTGTGAGAATCGCAAAACAATAATGTCTTAGAAGGAAGAAAATCGGGGCCATATTGATATCAGAGAGGGAAAACCGGGAGAAGGAGGACCTTGGGGACACATTTATGAGGATTCTGAAATGCGGATCGAGGAGTATCGATGATTAGGTTTTTGCTTTTTGGGTACAATTCAATTCGAAAAAAGATAATTGCTCTGGAAGAGAAAACTAGAGAATCTTGAAAAGGACAAATTGGAAGAAAGAGCTGTGAGTTCTGGGCAGAGTAAAATGAGAAATTAGAATTTTCAAGAATTAGATTCGAGATGAAGAAAACCTGGTTGGAGGAGTAGAAGCTGAGATTTAGATGAAGGAAAAGGATGTCACTTCGAACAGCTCATCATGCTTTATGTCCATCGATTCGCATATTTCTTTTTTTTGCGTTTATTTCTTATATAGCTAAAAATCAATGATCGTTTTTCAATTAAGGTGCGATATCTTTATTTTTGGCGAAGTCGATAAATTCCGATTCGATTTGAATAACTTCGCCATATTGCTCTTCCTCCTCCATATCTTCCTCTTCTCGAATATCGCCGCACAATTCGAGACGATCCCATAGTTCGTCGGCCTTTAATTATATTTTGAAACGATTGAAAAATTTACTAGTAAAAAATTACGTGGAATTTGTGAGATGCGCTAATTTCTGAGTCGTAGTATTGCTCGTCTTCAGATTCATTCCGTTGTCATCTAAAAACAACGGTGGGCAGAGCTTAGCTCCCACAGACAGAACACTACTGTATTGGTAAAAAAACAGCCAAATAGGGCCCAAAATAAAAAAAAACGTCGGAGGTAAGATTTTAAAGGCGCATGCATTAATTTGTTTTTTTCGCTGTTTGACCGACGATGCGATTTTGAGTATATTTTCGGCCGCAACGTGCATTGAAAATAGACAACAGTAATACCAAGAGTTGAATAAGCTTCAAATGACACCGTCATCTGAATTTTCACCTCAACAAAACGACGCAACAAATTTTGATGGCAGCGAGAACCTTTGTGTTTGTTCAGTGTCAGTATAAATTATTGAGAAAAAACTTTCGAAAAAACACGTGTTCAAACATCATTATTATATTGTCTACGATGTAGAATGGTATTGAAAATTCCCGTGTGAAACATCCAAAATATTCTGGAACGAAAGCCTCATTTCTCAAAACCAATATGATCCGTGCTAGTTTCGTTGCTTCCATGTTCTTCATTGTCGCTGTCCATTCTAAAATTTTGAATAAGGTGAGAAAAATAGTGTGTTAAAATTTTTCGAAAAGTTACTAATTCAAGAATTCGGAAAATGTGGAAATTCAACAACTCCTCAACATGGAAGCAGCGGCAATTGAGAGAGGATTATCTGCGGTTTTAATGCAAGAAGGACAATCGTCGGATTTGATTGTTCGTGCCGAGAGATATTACGGATGCGGTTGCGGCTGTGGATGCGCTAAAGTTGCAGTAGTTTCTGCAGCTCCATGTGCTGGATGTTGTGGATGCGGATATGGAAAATAATTGTCTATTGTTTATTAATAACCTATTTAATTTTTTGATTTTTCATTAAAACTTATATAACACTTGACAAAAAATCAAAAACCAACATTTACCACACCTATAAAATCCATATCAACCTACTACAAAGTTCAACATGAATCGGTAAACTAAGTCGTCACTAATCACGAAAAATCATTTTTATCAGTAGTCCCTTCTATTCTGTGTCTCGATTATCTCTCTTTCGATTTTTTTTTCTTTTCTATTGGTGGCGACGCAACAACCGATAAGATAGGAAGACACACAGCAATTCATTTGTTCTTGTGTCATGGTATTTTACACCATGAGGCTGCTGCTGGTGCTCGCACTATTGACCCAATTTGCACTATCCTATAAAATTTTAGTATTTTCCCCGGCAACTAGTAAATCGCATTTAATATCGAATGGAAGATTGGCTGATGAACTCGCGCAAGCTGGTCATGATGTGGTAAGTTATTTTCATTTTTTATAGAAGAATATTTTTGCATCCTTTCATGTATTTTTTGCAGACTGTTCTAGAATTGGATTTCCTGGGTATATCAGAAACCACAAATAGTGTGAAGAAAGCAAAAAAACGCATTATTGGCGGATTTGAACAAGCTACGCAATTCAAAAATGTTCTCTTAGGTTTATCGGAAAAAAAATTTCATAAAACATTTTTTTATTAAGGTTTCTCCGAAACTGTAATGGAAGAACCAAGTTTCACAGACGAGGTGAAAGGTTGGTGGGCTTATCAAAATGTGTACAATGATCTCTGTGCAGGTGAGTAATTGAAACAATTTTGACAACTTGATTGCTTCTTCAATTTGCAGAATTTCTGGAGAATGATAAAGTGTTCCACGAATTGAAAAAAGAAAACTTTGACGGCTTTTTTGCTGAGCAAATTAATCTCTGTGGATTTGGATATGCTCACGCGTTGGGTATCCAGAGACGTTTTTTGATTTCCAGGTTTTTTCCTCGAAAATATCGTTTGAATGAAATATACACATAACTTTGAATTACAGCTGTCCATTTTCTGCCCCTGTCTACGATTTTACTGGTCTACCGATGCCAACTTCGACAGTTCCATTTGCTGCCGACATGAGTGATGATCCATCGTATTACGAGCGTGCGAGAAACTTCTTGGCCGCCGTTGTTACCAAGTTCGAGTTTATGATGCTAAATAGTCGGTTGCACGAACATTTTTTGCACAAATGGGGGTGAGTTATTTTTTAATAAGCTAGAAAGCTAGAAATACTACTATAACTATTATAATATGCATATTGGTGTCTTTAAGTTTAGCTACATGTTACTTTGGTTTAAAATGTGTAGACGAATAACAAATTCTCGACTTTTTACTGAAATTGTAAATCCCCTATATTGACTAGAGGTTTCCACAATTTATGACGTTTTGTCTTGTTCTTTTCGAAAATAAAAATTTCGTATTCTCGGAGGAAAATGACACCTAATCAAAATCTCATCGACTTACGTTTGTCTAGTCTAAGGGCACAACAATTCGAGAAATCGGTCAGTTGCCCTATGACTTTATTAATAACTTGAATCTATCAGAAGTGATGCTGATGTACTACTCATTTTTAGAAACTTTTTTTTCGAGAAGATTAATCAGAAGAATGATATTAGAGTGATCCACTTCCTTTTTGTAACTATAGATTGAAAGAAACTGTTCATCTTTATTTTAATGACAAAATCAGCCTAGGTGTTGCATTAGTTATATCAAAAATAACCTGATGTAACTGTATTCAGAGCCGACTTTCCATCCCCAGCTAGCATTGCAAGCAACGTTGATGTCATTTTCATTGCCACCGATGAAGTGATTGACATTTCTACCACTACATTGCAAACGATTGTTCATGTTGGAGGTCTTGGTGTTGATGACGATATCACCGAGATGGACAAGGTGTTTTCCAATGAAATGGAGAAAGGGAAACTTGGAGTTATCTACTTCTCTCTCGGCACTATAGCAAATACCACCAAAATTGATAACAAAGTTATGATTAGTGTCTTGAATATTGTCAAAAAATTCCCAGATTATCACTTCATAATCAGAGCTGATAAATACGATATTGTAAGTGATTCACTACAGATATCCATCTACAATTAGTTATTCAGAGTACGAGACAGCACGCAAAGGAAGTTTCGAATGCATTTGTATCTGATTGGCTACCGCAAACTTCACTGCTTCGTAAGCAGTGAAATCAAAACAAAAAGCTAAGTTTCTGTTTCAGATCACCCCCGTCTCAAGTTATTCATTACTCATTCTGGATACAACAGCATTGTAGAAGCTGCACGAGCTGGAATTCCACTAATTAATATACCGTTCATGTTTGACCAGAACTTGTAAGTAGAGCTCTGTTCTCATTTCAAACAAAGGCTATTTTTTTAGAAACAGTCGTGCTGTTGAGAAAAAAGGATGGGGAATCCGCAGGCTTAAGAATCAATTGCTCTCGCAACCAGAAGCAATTGAAGAGGCTATTAACGAAATAATCCACAATAAAAAGTTAGTTCATTTCGCCATTCATCCAATATATGAAAAAGTCTCATAATTTTTTTCAGATACTCAGACAAAGCAATTAGAATAAGAGATCTCATCAAATCCAAACCTCTCAGCGCCTCTCAGCTTCTTGTCAAAACCACAGAATGGGCGATCAAAAACAACGGATTGGACGAGTTGAAATTTGAAAATCGCGGACAAACCACATGGACTTATTACAATCTTGATGTGATTCTTCCAATCTTATGGATAGTTTTCGCTTTTATCATTCCCACTATTTTTGGATGGTACAAGTTCAGCTGCTTTGGACATATTGAAGAAAAGTCTAAAACTAAAAGTAAAAAAGAATAATTTTTATTGCGTTTTAAATTTTTTGAAAATAAATGTGAGTTACATAGAAATTCGTGAGCAACTGTACCGTTCTGAACACCCATTCACTTCAATGATATTTGAGTCCCATGGAAACAACAAAAAAAGAAACGAAAAACAATTTTTCAAAAACCAAGCCACCGTTGACTTGTCAAAATACATTTAGAACAACACACTGAGCAAAAGGCTCTAACATGTTTTTCATCTTTTTATCTATTGTCAATTTTCGTCATCATTGATAGCCCAAAATCTTCAAACGTTTGTGCCTCCTGTGATGACAAACAGTCACTTCATTTTTGTTACAACATCTGAATATTTCATTAATCATAGAGAAATGCTGCCTTTGTACCTTTGCACTAGAATTGCAGATAGTGTTTGCTCCGCAAGTTCTAACGGTTTTTTTCATACTCGCAAAATCACGGCCGGGCCGATGAAGTGGCGGCCCGTTATTGTACAAACGCTGATTGTTTCGAATTCTTTTTTGAAATTCTCAAAGTTATCTCACAAATTAAAAAAACAACTATATCTTTTTTGACTACGTTCTAATTTGTTAACCTTTTTGGATAATTTAATTTTTTTTCCTTTTTGATTATAAAACAATAGCTCAATTTTTCACTATAAAATGTTCTGTATGAGTAAGGCGGGCCGGCGGTCCCTGTCAGGTCGACCCACGGGCCAAGAAAACAGCAGTCATCCGGCCTGGCCCGGCTCGTTGCAAGCATTTTTTTTCATATTTCAACAGATTTTTTCAAAAAAAAAGGTCAAATTCTACTCTTATTTGACCATCACTTTTAGAGGATTTGAATAGTAAATGAACGACAGAAATAAACTAATTCTATGAATGAAAATAGTGGGTTTTTTGAACGATCCATCCCCCTCATCCCATCCTCTCATATTTTTTTTGAATTGCTCATGTCTTCCTCTGTTTTTCCTACCATCAATTTATACACAGCACAGCATTCAATTTATATTTTTTTTAAGGCGTATATCTTGGAAAATAGTAATAGCCATAAAACGTTTGAATGAGGACAGCTGAGAAAATGACCATCAGCTGCTGCTACGGCGCTGTCACGGCTCCTGTTTTCGCAAGTGGTGAACCCCCTGCCAAAAAAAATAAGGCACATCTGTTCATTTTTCCAACGTCCTTTACGGGCACGACGTATCTGCCTTCGTCTTTCTTTTCTCCGGTCTTTCACCATTTTCGTATTTTCTCATTCCTTTCCTATTCAATTTCTGTGCCATTTATTGTCCTCTTTTCGTCCCAAAAAGTCAAAAGTGAGATTGGTTTTCTCTTCTAACCATGAAATTCTCTGTATTGTCTATTCACCTTCTTTGGATTTTAATTCACTTTTTTGTCTGAAATAGAAATCTGCAGACGCTCATAGCTGTCACTGAAACTACATTTTTGTCAAAAGCGCATACAAATATAATATGAATTTTAGTATGCCGTTTGCCGGTCGATCCAGAAGTCCATCTCCAGAAATCCCAGAAGTCCCGCGTATTAGAGTACCTCGTGCTCCACCACAATTCATTGGTTACGAAGTTATTGACAGGCAGTATTTGCAATTCAATCCCAACCCACTTGCTACCCAACCGAACACCGTTCATGTTGCCCTGTTGAATGAGTATCATGACTATTTGTAAGTGTTGAGTAAAAAAGCGGAGACGACTCAAAAAAGGATGAAAAAAAGAGGGATATTAGAGACAAAGGATGACGTAACCTTCAACTTTCTAGCGCGCGAACAGAAACATGCAGATACAAAGAAACAAACAAAAACATGAAACAAAATACCGTAAAAAGTGTAGGTAGGAACATTAAAACTGATGAAGGCCATTTTCGAGTGTTTGTTTTTGTGAATCTGATTTTCAAATATTTTCCTATTGCATTTTTGTAAGCACAAGTAAAGACGATTATGGTCAGTCATTACATGTGCCATTTCAAATGTTTTAACAAGTTTCCCTTCCCGATTAAAAGCTAGTTTTGCAAATCAAACATTTTTGACAACTCAAACACAAAGTAATAACTGAGTGCGGCTCAAACTATCGGCCACTTCAAAACGCATTTTTGAATTCTAAGAATATAAAAATTACATAGTCCATTTTCGAAACTCTAACGGGGTGTGTTCGTGCCAGCCTTCTAGATTTGTTCATACAAACAGAGCAGTGCAATTTAAATGAAATTCTTTGACGTTGAACGCTTTTCAGACTACCGAGACCACGCCCTCGTGCAGTAGTCGAGCCTGTCAGTTTCATCAGTATTCTCTTCTTGACCACGTGTATCTACATGTTGTACAAAGAGATTATGGGTATAAAATGAGTAAACTTCCCCCAGTTAAATCTTTTGATTTAGGATTTGCTGAGTTGTACGACGCACTGGGAACTAAGAGTACAAAGAAAAAAACTGCGAACTTAATTTGTTTGAATGTAAGACTTTGGCAGATATAGTTCCAAACTGTGATTAGAATCGATTTTAAGATATGGGAAAATTGGCTTCAGGAATTAAAATAGTATTTGAATCACTCATCACGCTTCTCTCCACATTGGAAGATACACATCTCATTGTGAGTTTCGAGCTGAATTTTCAGGATTTCCAACAGTTTTGTAGCTCTTAAAACTTAAGAATCTACCGGACGACAACACTGTTCATCTCTATGCAATGCAAGCATATGTTTCAGAAGGATTCAGTAAAATTGGAGAGAAGGTAAGATTAAGGAAAAATGTTTTCTTCATATTTTTTGTAGTAGTTTCCGTGGAAGATTAATGTCCCTCGAAAAAACATTTTAGCCATTTTTTGTACGCTGGGAGCACTGATTTGAAGGTACAAATGAATCATGTCTATAAAACTATAAGATGATCAGAATTGAGTCCAGATTATGTAGGATCTCAGATACATTTGGTGCGTTCGAATGGAAAATTTTCATTTTCTTTATTTATACGAATAGGAAGTTAGAAGTAAATTCCCATTCTCACACTTCTTCAATCTGATCATGACCACTTTTTTGGGTTTTTCGAGTATTTCGGGGATACCTTGAACTTTTTGTTTAATATCCCAAGTGAACTTTTTTCGAATGTCTTAAATGAGATATTGGAGATTTAAAAATATTCCACAAAATCAAAAAGATATTGGCAAGAAGAGTTCATCTTTGTGTGTCAGGAAATTGGGTCAGGAAGAATGATCCGTGGTGCAGTGCTCAACGCACCACACTATTGCCCGCGGGTTCGAGTCCCACAAAAGTCACAATTTTTTTTTGCTTTTTCTTTTAAAGTTCAGAATTGCGAAAAAAGTGCCTGAATGTTTTCAAATTGGTTTGAATAAAATCGGAAAAAAGTAATCTCAATGTTCACGTATTTTGAATTTTAGAAACACGGATATGCAGAAATTTCTAGTAAGGGGCTCGCGATCGGGACAAGGGCTTACTACGGGTTCCGAAAGCTAGAACACCATTTCTACTATGTTAGATGTGGTGATCCGTGGTGCAGTGCTCAACGCACCACACTATTGCCCGCGGGTTCGAGTCCCACAGGAGTCCCAATTTTTTTTTGATTTTTCTTTTAAAGTTCAGAATTGCGAAAAAAGTGCCTGAATGTTTTCAAATTGGTTTGAATAAAATCGGAAAAAAAGTAATCTCAAAACCTTTGAGTTTTCAAATTTTCAAAATTCGGAGTTTTGGAATTCAAGGCTTTCCCGATTTCTCTTTTTTTAATCTATAAACTTCACGCATTTTTGAATTTTAGAAACACGGATATGCAGAAATTTCTAGTAAAGGGCTCGCGATTGGGACAAGGGCTTACTACGGGTTCAGAAAGCTAGAAAATCATGATAAAAAAGTATAAAAAATAAATAAATGATCAAATAACACAAAAACAAAAAGTTTGAAACAAAGAGGATTTGAACCCGCAAAAGCAGATTCCTAGACAAGCGCACACACCACTCGGCCACAGAACAGCATTCTGTAGTGGCCAGAGGTGACGGATAAGAATGAGGTGTTCGAGGGAAGGAAAAAAAAAGAGGGGAAGCAGCAAATCAAAAAATCAAAAACGAGATTCACATGGTTTACAGCTTGATTTTTGAGCAGAAATATCTCGGCTCTCCGGGCCATTCAGCAAAATTTGAAAACTGTTCTGGAATCAGGGAGCAACCTTCTTTTCAGTGAATTCACTTGCGTGTCTGATCGCGAGATAAATTCTGACCATTCCCTAGTAAGTTTTGAAGCATTTCTCTATCTCTCAATTTCCGTATTTCTGAAATTCAAAATTTAGTAATTGGAAAACTCCGATTTTTCAATTTTTTGTAATTTATTCCCCTAAATTTAGTTATCCTTAAATTTAGTCTCTGAATGTTCGAAATTCTCAATTTTATACGTTTCTCGGTTTTGGAAATTTAGCTTTCGACTTCAATATTATTCATGAATTCAATTTTTCGCGTTTCCAAATTCAAAGTTTCAGGAATTATCTCGGTTCCTCTAAAGAATATCGAAAGATGTTAGACTGATAAATTATTCATCGTTTTATCACAAATACTTCATCTGTTGACGAATTTTTTCATATCTGTTATATGAATTGAGATAATTGCGTTCGACGTGTATGTACGTATAGGATGGGCTTCTATAAAAGCAAATACCGTAAATTTTGTTTCGAATTGCCTATCAATTTGTTCGACTCATCACGGTTTTATGAATTTTTCGGAATCTCTCAAAAAACTTTTCGAATCTCGATTCTTTTTTCTACAGGGTGGCCGATAAGTATAGGACGTTTTGAAAGTGCTCCCATTTTTTCAATTTGAGGATTTTTCGAGAACAACCTTTATTAAACAACAAAAAATAAGCAGAAAATTTGATTTTACAAGAGAAATTCGAAGTTGGATCCACGAGCTTTGACACAGGCTCTCAAACGTTTCTTCACCGAATTGACAGTGCGCCGCAGGTATCCGTCGTCGATCGAAGCCCATGCTACCTCGAGAGCGGCCTTCAAGTCATCGACAGTAGCAAAAACTTTTCCCGCGATCTTCCCTTCCAACATGCCCCAAACGCTGAAATCCATCGGATTGAGATCCGGGCTGGAAGCAGGCCACAAGTTCTTGTCCAGGAATCCAGGGAAATGCGCCTCCAAGACGGCCAATGTCGATCTCGAGCCATGGGACGGTGCCCAGTCTTGTTGAAGGATAAATGGACCACCAGCAAAGTGCTGAGTGACCCAGGGTAACAAATTATCCATCAACACAATCTTTTGGTACACCTCCGAGTTGATTTTCACATTTCTTTCAATGAAAACCAACGGAGTTTTACCGGTTGCCGTGATACCGGCCCAAACCATGACACTTTTCGGGAAAAGGCGGTTATGGGCAAGACGACGTTTCGGAGACATGCTGTCATCCTTTGACAATAACTGTCTCTGGTTTTGACGGTTGGGAAGAGGTTCAATAGTGAAGATCTTCTCGTCTGTCCAGATAACGTCAGAGACGCGGCGCACTTGAAAGTGCTGGAGTAATTTTCGGCATTTTTCGAGTCGCATCGCTTTCGATTTGTCCGAGAGGTACTGTCCACGACGTAGTTTGTAACTTTTGAGCTTCAAGTCGTTCTTGACAATCGATTGGACAGTGGATCGGGCAATTCCAAGCTGTGACGCCATCCTATTGAGACTCAATCCATCATTTCGAATGATCCGTTTCTTGATGATTGCACGAGTATTCCGGGTGTTGACAGAACGTGGACGTCCGCTTTTTTTTACTTCAGAAGCATCTCCTCGCTTTTTGATAGCAGCGACACCGTTTCGAACCGTCGAAGACGAAATTTGAAGGCGTCGAGCGATCTCAGCACTTCCGAGGCCTCTCTTGAACAAGAGTTCAATGGAAGGACGATGAGGAGAACTTTTCATAGCTCGGCGATATGGAGAAGTGAGAACAAATGACTGAGAAGCTTACTTATATAGTCTCTGGACTTTCGAAAAGTTTCGAAATTTTTCGAAAATATCCCTTGGCACCGTGCCAGGGAACGCTGAAAGCGAGCGTCCTATACTTATCGGCCACCCTGTAGTTTTAATTTCATTTCAAATTGCCCCAAGAGTGTTTCTGTCTGTCGTATGCATCTGTGTAGCTGAAAATCGCATTTTTTTGCATCATACAGTTCAGCACTTGAGCCCCTAACACCGGTAATCATTTTTCAGGGGCTCTGAATTATTTACAATTCTCATTTGCTGGTTTTATTGCATTTTCCCCGCCTAAATCTCAATTCGATCTGCCCCAAAACAAATTTATCAATTCACGAATAAAAATGTCACTTCGGATTGCACATTAATAAATTATATCGAACGTCATATAATATTTTGTTGCGAAAACCCCTATTAAACGTTACATAAAGAAGAATATTCAACAAAAAAGAAAATAGTGGGAGTGTAGATAAAATATAACCGAGAAAGAAAATGAGGGGGGGGGGGGCTAACCAGTCAAACGAACTAGGTGGTGGGAAAGAATGAAAAAACACAGAGAGCAAGAGGAACTGAACACGGAATACTGGAAAAAGGGAGAAGAAAGAAAATGTAAAATGCACAACCAGAAAGGCTTACTTTGAAAAAAAAACGTGATCTATGACCAATGTGAAAAAACCAAGAATACAAAAATTTCTACCCCAACTTTTAAAGTCGTTTTTTAGGAGATATCTAAGAAGAAGACGTCACAAGAACAGGCGGAATCAAATTTTGAAAAATCAGAGAAAAAGTTAAAATAAATCACACAAAGAGGTACCAGTACAAGAATTTTACAGATGGATTGATCAAGGATTTATGCGGATTCGGCAGCAATAGCAGGTTTTGTTTCTTCAGACGAGCTTGTAACTTCCTCGGCTACTGTAGCTTCACCCTCAGACGACGATTGAGATGGCTCCTCCTCGAGTTTTGTGGCTGATGGCTCGTGTGGAATTTGTGGAGTCTCGTTTTTCGTTTTTGGTGGGGTGACATCACTATTTTTCTTGGATTTGAACAAAACATCGGTTTCTTGCATTTCTCCTGAAAAACGTTGAGTTACAGTAACGGACAATTACATATACTAAACCGTATTTCTAGCAAAAATAAAATAAACAAAACCCTATGTATCAGTTGATTTTTTAGAATTTTCAGCAGTCTAGAATTCCATTGTCAAGTTTTCGATTACTTTTAAAACTTTGGAGAGTATAAAAATGATCAGAACTTGAAATTTTTGCACAGTTTATTTTTTGAAATTCGTAGTTTTTAAGCTATTCGCTAGTTTTTGGGAATCATCGCTTTTTTGTCCGTTTTTGAACTGAGAACGTGGAAAAACAGGTGTCTCTCGGGAACGGGAAAATAGCTGAAAAACTAGAAATTCTCGAAAAAATCTACGAATGCAAATTTTTCACTATAGATCTTATTGACAGGATAAATCACTCAATTTCAATTTTTACTAACCTGTCTTCAAGTTGAATGCTCTTCCTCGGATATTCTGTGATTCTGGAGTGAGTGGAGACCACCAGTTAACCAACGATCCCATAATTGGCAGCTGCCTCATCATTCCCTCATTTTGAAGTCGTTGATCATTTTCTTTTCTCAACGCCTCATTTGCTGCTTCGATTCCTTGTCGAATCAAGTCCGCCAAACTATCCAAATACTGTTGGCTGTTCTCAATTTCTTTTCCTTTATCTGACACCATCAGGACCAAATTATGCAAATCCTTGACGTCGGAAAGCATGCCAAACTTGACACAAGAGACACCATAACGAGTGCAGTCGCCGGAAGAGAAAGCGGCGTCGACGCTCTTCAATTGGTGCACAAGCTCCAAGTTGAGATGCGAGATTTGTTGTTTTTGAATAGCATTCCAGTCTTCTGGGTTTGTCTCTTTCACAATAGATGGGATGTAGCTGGAAATATATATTTATTGAACTTTCGAGATTTTAGGCATACCAGACAGCTCCAATTCCAGCCCAGTTACGGATTGGAAGAAGCACCAAAGATGGGAAGTCATCTTTGAGCTCCGAGAACTTGAGCTTGGCGGCTACAGTAGACTCAACAATTCTCATAATGTCAGTCAGCTTACGAACAAATCGTTGCACATGATCGATGTGAGAGGAGAAGGCTGAAATTGATTTTTTAAATCATATGATTTTTATGAAAAGTAAAAATTTACTAGCTGCGTGCTCCAATGGGCAAAAACGGAAAGCGATTCCGTAATTTCCTCCAAGCTCAATCGTATCAATTCCAAGGGCTTGTGACTCTGGAAGAAGTCCGTCACGGAGCCAAGCATTGAGATAATCTCCATACTCCAACTCATCTTGAAGCGTCTTCTCAGCAATTGAAATGGCATCATGATCCTCATTTTTCTGGATCAAATCCTTATGATGTTGAATAGCATTTTTGATGCTGACATAGTTGTACTTGAAAATGAGCACAGTTGGAGCAGTGTACTTGCTCTTGTAGACACGGTTAGCGAAATCTACTGGGTTTTCAACGCCAACAATTTCGACCTCTGGGATTGCGGAGAGTCCCTTGAGCATCACTTTGCTGAGCAAGAACGCGTTTTCGACCATGTCGACGATTTTCTTTCCGGAAAGGTAGGACGAGGCTACCCACCAAGGGAGGCTGTCCAGTTTCTCACGGTACGATGCCTTGTATCCCTCGACGGATTTGTGTAGAGTCTGAAAATAAACATTTAGATTTTCAATAGCTGAAACCTGACGCTTACCACAACTGGAGCGGATGGGATACCAAGCCAAAGAGCAATTGGGAATGTCATACTGTCCACTTGAGACAACACATGAACCAGAACATTATTTGGCTCGCGGAATGTCAATGCAGCGATTGCTTGTCCAGTGATATGAAGCCAGAAATGCGCCTTCTTCTCCCGAATTTCCAAAATCTTGGAAATCATGTCATTCTGTCCCAAAATGGTCGTTCCGACGACACCAATGAGAATGAGGGGCTTCTTCCCGGCAGCCAAGTCCTCGTCAAGGATCTTCTCGAATTGTTGATGGTCCTGAAATTTTATTGGTTTCAAAATCTTAGAGATGTTTTAAACACTAACAATTCTTCCTTCGATTTCACTCAAATCAGACTCAAGTTTTGGAAGAATGGTAACATCAGCGATTCCGAACTCTGAAGCCAGGTAGGATGAAACATCCATGTGAAGAGCTGGAGACACATACACGACAGGGGCTCCCTGAACATTTGAATTAAATAGTTTATGTGCATTTTAATTCACAAACCTGCTCAACAAACGCCTTCCATCCCTTGGTAGCATAGTCAGTTCCATAAGAGGACTTGAGCGCAAGTTTGATAGCATGTCCAATTCCATTTCTAATTGAGAGAGAAATAGTAGCTTCCGGGTCCGAGCAATAGACTTGCGAGTCCGAAAATCTGGAAATGTTCGAAGTAAAGTTTCGATTTTAAGAAATTTTCAAGATTTTTACCTGAAAAGGTTGCTGAAGACATGGTTGACACTTCCGTAAAGCCAGGAAGCAATGCTCTGGCGATGGTGACTGCTCAAAAGATCAATGTAGGACTTGAGACTTGCAGATGTGACCAAAGTTCGTCCCAACTCGGAAAGCTTTTGTCCTTCGCGAGATCTGCAAGGAAAGAAAAACGGAAGCTGATTCATGAATACGAAATCAAGCGCCAACCTAGTCTTTGCCACTTGGACGTGCTGCTTTAACCCGACTGGTGTGGTCGTCTCATTTCCGAGCCAGTCGTCAGAAATAATCATGTGCTCCAATTGCTCGAGCACCGGTGGAAGTGAAACCCCAGACGATTGCGACATTCGCGAAGATTTGCGAGAGATTGGTTTGGCCGAAACGGTGGAGGTCTGGAAAATTTGCAGGGTGTTCCACACATGTTTCTCAACAAAAAAAACTCACAACAGATTTTTTTGGTCCATCATCCAATCCACTGTCCTCAGACTTTGTTGAAGAACTATTCGATGCTGGGCTGTGCTGTTGGGAGGACACCTCTATTTTGCTGAAAGATCCCAAAATTATCAAATGGGAAACTAAATTTAGAAGGTGTGAATTTTTTAGTGTTTTCTCGTCGACCATGTTTCTCGAAACATGGCTGAACAAAGAGTTGAGGGAAGACGTTCCCCAGGGACAACACAGCAACACTAACACATGTATTTTCATGTATTTTCACTCGTGTCGTCGCTCAGTCACTCTAGAAATTGACACGCATACACGAAACTCGATTCGCATAAAACGCCACACATGTACGCAATTTCTGAAATTAAGTGGGGGAGCGAAGAGGGGTGAAGAAGAAGTAGATGATGAAAACGACTAGAAACCAGTCAGTTCTTTTTTTTGCTAATGGAATTTCACATTTAATTGGGATGCTCTTTGTTTTTTGATGAGCATTTGAAATGCTCCATTGGACTTTGATGAAGGGTCATGAGATAGTAAAGAGCAAAATCATTATGAAATGCTCAGAATGTTATAATGTCCAATTACAGTACTTTATTACGTATTTTTAGTTGATTTTTGGCCTTTCAGACAATTTTCAGAAGTCTGGAGCTCGACTAACAAGTTCCCAATCACTTTGAAAATTTTGGAGGGTGTAAGAGAGACTTAGTTGGAAAGCTTTGCGTTCACAGTAAATTTTGAAATTTCATGAATTTTAAGCGTCTTTCTAATTTCTAAAAGATTCTCCTTTAGCTTGTACTCAAAACGTGGAAAAATAGGTGTTATTCAGAAATCCGCAAATAGCTGAGCAACTAGAAATTTTCCAGAACTTTTTGAATTTAAATTGTTCAGTCTAGGTCTGTTTCACCAACTCCGACGTTTTAAAAGAGGTTGAAAACTTGACAGCGCTGCTCCAACCACTTGAAAACGGTAAAATCTGCCAAAAATTAACTGAAAAATATGTTTTTGTATATCTTATTGAGCGGTACTGTATGTATTTCTACAGGAATTACTGTAGTTCACAAAATTCAGTTTATTCAAGAAACATGCTAAAATGCCTCAAGTTTTGAACATTGCACTAGCGTAGTAGCGGGGGGAAGGAAGCACAGGGCTCTTGGGACAAAATCACTTAGAATGCAAATTGTATCACAAAAAAAAAGTAGGGAAGTGTTTAGAATCAAACTTTGAGACTCATTTTTTTAGTATCGAGGTTTACAGTAAAATTCAATTTTCAAGAAACTTATATGCCGTATTTTCATTATATGAGCTTATTATATGTCCACTTTGAGCTCAATTATCACGGCTCTTTTAAGAAGTATTAAAGATTTGTCTACAGATAAATTCTTAAACATAAGGTTGTTAATATTTTATCAATTCACAAATTCTTGGTATCTCTAATACGAACCAAGATAAATAGGGTCAAAGTGTTGGTTCGGCTTGTATTGAAGAAAATACGGTAGTTTTTTTAGAGCATTGCTTGCCCCCGAAAAAAGATCATTTCGAATGTTTTTTTTTCTATTCTCAAATTGAAATTTTCCCCATTGACAACACAAATTATTACGTTGACGGTAATGGCGGATGATTCTGATATCTATGCGATGAGCATGGTAACATGAATGATGAGCTCTCAGAGTTGTGCCTCATCGCCTCATTCTGAAAAGTCAAATAAATCATGACATCCAAAAAGAAGAGCACACAGGACAAGGCGAAAGAAAAACAATTGAATTGAGCGAGGTTTTTTCATATATAAAATCTGATTCAGTAGAAGAAGAAGAAAAAGAAAAATGGGCGGACGAAAAAGGGTTGAATCTAAAATAAGGGGGTAGAGTAGCTCGAAATGAAAACTGCATACATTTTTCCTTCATTTCAACCCGACCCCAAGTGTTTGTTTTGTAGAGCAAGTGGAAAGTTAGGAATATAATATAAACAAAAAAAGAAATAGAGTATTAGCTAATTTTTTTCATTTTCAAAAAAAGAGGCTTTGAAAAAAACGAAGTTGCGCTCAGAACCAAAATGAGAAACAAAAAGGAAACTAGGGCAATAAAAAGTGCAAATCTGTCTGGTTATCTACCCCATAAAAAGTTTCACTTCCCTAGATTGGTTTTAGGACCCATGTTTCCGGTTCCCTGACCGAAAAATAAAATTAAAACTGAACATAACAAATCTTATACGCCCATATTTGAGTCAAGCCTTGACAAACAAAGTGTCAGAAATTTGCTGTCATTTTGGCAACTTGTCCACTTTCTGGAGCAAGTCAAAAGCGAAATGCTGAATCAAGGACAACCATAAAAAACTTGGACAAGAAGAAAAAGAGTCGTCGTCTCAGATAGGGAAACAACTCAAATTGACATTATCGGAGGCGACAAAAAAGAAGAAAAAGGGAAAGATAGAAGTGCCATCATATGCTCCAGCTGCTCTGTGTTTCGTTTTTTTATCTCTTCCCGAACACGGGCAATACCAAATCAAATAATGGACAATAGAAGGGATAGAGGGTGGGCTGATGCAAAAAGGAGAAATAGGGGACTTGTCTATCTGTGTGAAATGAGGGGGGGGGGCTCAATGTGTGCTTTATTCATTGCTTTTCGTTTTGAAGAATGAACGAATGACACGACCACCATCCACACCGGGCCGCTCCGATTTGTTGGTTGCAAAAAAAATGAGGCCCCCGGAGGCATTTGAGCATTTTTTGGTTGAATATGAATATTCGCACGCACCGAAGGGCCCTTTTTCATTTCAATGTATCAGGTTACTTAAGTGCAAAACGCTTTTTGAAAATTTTATGAAACACACCGGAAAAAGTCAGGAGCCGGGTAGAATATTTCGAATGCAGTGTTTAGTGCCATACAATTTGGAAAAGTTTTTTGGGGCGAAAAAAAAGAGAAAGATAGAAAAGAACATGTGATGTTCCAATAAAATGAGTCAGCTTCATGTGTCGAACACTTTTCACACCTAATATTAGTATCATGAATCTAGGAAAGATTCAGGATCTGAGTCTCAAAATGTTTCAGGTTACGGTAGGTTCAGTAACTGAAGGATATAATATTCGATTTCAACAAAATCATTCAATTTTAACAAAACATTTAAATTTGAATAAACAAATGAGAAGGTTTTCCTATCCATCATTTCATTTTTTAACAGATACCCACCAACATGCACTTGAGGTTAATTATCTCGGTTCATGTAATCGATATCAAAATAATAATAACTAAGAAAAAATGGTGATATTATGATAAACAATTTCCAAGTTGATAATTTTTCGATATCTTTCGAATGAACCTAGATAATTGAGCTTTAAGTTTACAGTGTGAAAGGGATTTTTCCCACCCCACTGAAATTCAACAAGCTACCGTATTTGCTCCAATACTCACCATATAAGTGCTTATCAAACTTGATTATCTTGGTTCCTATGAAAGATATAAAAAAAATTGTGAACTGATAAAATGTTGGTGATAATATGATAAACAATTTATCATTTGATCTATTTTTGATATCTTAAACAGGAACCGAGATAATTGAGCTCAAAGTTTAGGTATGAAAGTTTTTTAGGACAAAATACGGAATTCAAAAAACCTAAATAAAAAACCCTTAATTTTAAAAAACCCCGCTCAATTTTTTGAATTTATATTACCGAATTTCTAATTCGAACGTTTCACCTACAGTAACCCAAGAAGTTTCTTCCCTACAATTTTCAATATTTTCAAATTTTATTGAAAACCAAGTCACCCACGTCACCTATTCAAACCAAATTTTTTTCTTGAAACTTTCTTTCTGATTTTTCACCTTTTGAATTTTTTGTGATGCTATCCCCAAACTGTGTAAACATGATTCATGTGATGTCCATAGAATTCCTCCTCTCTCCAACTTCTTCCTCTCCTTTCAATCCCAACCGAAATTTTCATTGTTGATAGGTTTCATGAAAAACAGACACCAGTCAATGAAAAGAGAGTGGGGCACCGACAGAGAGACCGATCAGGAAAAACCGGGTCCACGATAACATCTGACACCGCTCGGCGAACGCAAAAAGTTTTGGAGGGGAAAGGAGGAAAGAAAGATCTGGAAGGAAGACAACGAATTCAAAGATAGAGATCCGTGGAATCGATAGATGAATTGGGACACTGGGACACACAAAAGTTAGTAGGTCGCCGGTTTTTTTTTAATTTCAATTTGAATTTAAAAAATTTTAAAAATGAGAAAGAAGTGAAACGTCGAAACATGCTCTGAACCCGAGAAAAGTACAAAAAGCTCAAAAATGCGCGAAAAATGTATTGGAGGTGTCCGCAAAGGGACCATTAAGATGGCGTTCCTCGTCTCGTTGCATGCATTTCTATTTTTATTTTCTTCCCACCCCTTTTGCTTGTCTTCTTCTTTCGTTTTTTGAAGAATTCGACGTCTCCAGAAGTTTTTTTTGCAAAAAAACCAGTTGTCAAGATAATGACACTAAGTGACCAAGTCTAGACAGTAATTTCAACGGTAAATACTCTATTTAGTGTTCGGTAAACTTTTGCAGGCCCTCTTACTCACCTTTCAATTGTTTGAATGATGCTCTCGATTTGCTGAACTGTGCCCGACATTTCAGCAGACGTGGCCATCCTGAAAAAAAAGGAAAAATTAAAAAGGAAGGTAAAACGGCTAAAATGCGATGCGAGAGTCGAGCTAGTGGCCACATCAACAATCTACGTGGCATCATCCTCTACCACGACGAGAAATGATGGAACAGACAAAGATAGTAAGCAGGGAGGGGACAAATACAGAGAGGTACAGGAAGAGGGGAACGATGGAGGTAGAGAAAGATGGAAAACTGACAGTAAAAGAAAATGAGAGAGCGAGAAAGGCAACAAAAGGTGTTGAACAAACAAACCACGAATGCAGGCTAGTGCAAAAATGATTTTCCATCGATTGATACAAAATTATGCGGATTCGTATATATGGTGTTCGTATTTGCAACGTGGCATTTTGGATAGATAGATATAGAGGGACTATCCAATAATATGAAAACAGCGCCCGGCGAATTCGATTAAGAATTGAAAGAGAAAAGGAGGAACGAAGAAGTTGAAGAGATCCGCGTAGATAAAGTACAACCGCCTGCCTGTATTTTGCCTCATTTCTTTATATCTTAACATCTTTTCGCTTTCTTTTTTGGACTATGAAGCCTAAAAGAGAGAGGGAAAACGCCGCATCATTTTCTTGTTTATGGGAAAAACAACGTTCGAAATGATTTGGTCGAGATTGTGAATTTTTAGAGAACATGAAAAATTACATGTGGTCATGCGAAAGAGATAATTCGGAGCAAAAAAAATGGGAGAAGAGAAAAATCCATATAATAGGAGGGCCCCCTACATTGTCGAGTTTGAGCTCAATTATCTCACTTCCTATGCAAAATATCAAAAATGTGCCAACTGACAAAACATTTCTGTCATTATGATAAACAATTTATCAGTTGTCAAGTTTTTTGTATATTTGACAGGAACCGAGGGAAATCGGCTCCAAGTTACAAGTTAGGCATTACAGGTTTTACCGTAGATTTTGAGCTGGAAAACGGAAATTGGGATCGAGCCAATTTTCAAGATTTTCAAAATAAATTATTTGCTGGAATGAAACCTTTGAAAAAATCCTAGTGGTATTTTCTAACCAATTTTAAGTGGTTCATGGGAGAAGCTTGGTTTCTCAATATTTACAACAATTTGAATTTTAAAAATTCAAATTTTTGTGTTTCCACGAACATTTTAAACACGGTTTTCAGCTAGGCGATATTCGAAAATGCCCGATTTCAAATTTAATTTTTTTGCGGAAATATTTTTTTAATTTTCGAAAATTATTTTTTAAAAATAGTTTTTACTTGAAAAAAGATTACTTGATAGAATAAAAAATTACAAATTCCCAAAAATTTCCGAAAATACACATTTTCAACATTATTGAAAACCGAGAGAAATGATTTTTCCCCCACATTCTTTGACAAAAAATATTGCAAAAACTACTATGTACATCTTTATGTAATTAGCTGCGATTCTTTGCTCCCCCATCCATCCCATACTAACCAATCCATCAACTGCACGCGACTAAGAACTATCAGTCAATTTCGAAAGTTGAAAAAAAGTACAATGACTGTCACTTACGACCATCGTGTGTGTGTTGGTAAACATGTCGGGGCGTTGGCACGGAAGTTTGCTTCCTCTGTTTCATGAGTGAAAAAAATATTCGATGAAGAGGTGAGAGAAGATCATTTAGAAAAATAAACAAGGTTGAAAGTTGAGAGTTTACCCGATTCATTGCACTTTTTCATAATTGTTTAAAATTAATGTTTTTTTTTGTTTTTGACATTTTTACACATATAAGGAGGCGTAGAGAAAGTTTTTTTTTTTAACTAAAAAAAACATACTTGTAAAATTCCGGGCCGGGCCTGAGGAAATTTTCAAGGACCGGTGTCACAAATTCTGTATTTTTGAGCCAAATTTTGAGCTCTCAATATAATTTTTTCCTTTTTTTTTCGTTTGTTTGTCTGTCTAATCAAAAAAGATCGAAAATACTCGAAAAAAAATTTTGATCGAAAAAAAATCACATAAGGGTCCCCCCTAATGTGTTTTTTAAAAATTTCAAAACTAGTGAAATGACGGAACACACTATTTCGTAAGTGTTGAAATAGCAGTTTTTGCCAAATGACTGAAATTTCTAAACCTAAATTGCTAAACATAATTTCCTCAAAAAGCGAAATAAACTTTCAAGGATAACTACGTAACCTAATTTTCTATTTTCAAGTGGAGTGACTGTTCGGGGCAAAGGAAGAGAATGGGGGAGTTTAACCCATACCGAATTTTACAATCGCGTACTTCGAATCCAAATCCGTTTCTAACCGCTTAGTCTTTATGAAACAAGACCTAAAAAAGTGTGCGGAGGATTTTCGAAATTTTTTTGGCCTTTTTTTCACAGCCGAAAAAATTGGTTGGAAAACGGATTAAGAAGCCAAACTTTGGAATCGAATTTTTAGGATTTTTAGAAATTCCAATTGAATTATGAAAAATCAGGGGAACGGGAAACCTCATAAAAAAAGGTCGAGAAAATGAGAAAAAAGGATATTACTGTAGATTAGAATCATTTTTTTAAAATGTTTCCAATTGGTTTTGTCCATTATTCAACTGTTTAGAGGCCAACATCTTGGCATTGACAATGAGAAATTGAAATTTTCCTCCAAAATACTATATAATTCTGCTCACAATGTGGCTCTAATGAATTAAGCGAGAGAAAAAAAAACATATGTGAAAATGTTTACACGAGTGCGTGCGGGGGAGATGTCATGGTGCGAGAGTAGTGTCCGAAAGTGAAAATCGGGTGTCTGTCTTCCATGTCCATTCTTCAGCCTCTTCTTTCGGCCTACGATGCAAACCAGATACCACGTGTAATCGGAAGACACGCACGGGGTCAGTCAGTCGACAGCTTACATGGCGGTCGGGATGTGAAAGCAGTCACCGAAAAAAAAAGGAAAAAGAACTATCATTTATGGAACGGATTTTTGAAATAGCGATGGATACCATACTTGCAACGACCCGTCCGAGCCGTATCTGGCTTTTTTTTCAGAATTTTCTCGGCCCGGGTTTCTTTTTTTGTATTTTTTTTAAAAAAATTTGGAGTCAAAAAATATTCAAAAAATAATAAGAGTTATAAAAAAGGAGTGTTGTTTGAAAAAATTTTCCCAAAAAAATTGAAATCTTCTTGAATATTCAGAATTTTAACCCGGACCGTGGCTGATTTTGCAATTACAATAGATACATAAAGATGACTTGCAAACTGGAGGTTTTTTCCAAAAATGGCAACGAAAAAACAGGAAAAGCCTGGAAAATGCGTCATAACTTTTGTATTTTTTTTCTCCGCTTTCCAAACATAAATCGGTGTCGTCGAGTTGGAAATAAAAGTCTTTGCAAGGTTTGGGTGAAAATATATGTAATAGGAAAAAGGTTGCGGAATAAGGAAGGTCGTTCGGAAATTGGAGAGGCGGATTCCGGAAATTGAAAATGTTGGGTTTTTATATTCAAATCTTTGTTTTTTTTTCTGTTAGGACAAAATTGAGTAATACCCTTTTCCGGAAGACACTAAAAAGAATGGGTTGGTAAGTTTTCAGTTAACACCCTTAACTGAAAACCAAGAAAATTGAGAAATGAAAAAAGAAACTCAAGTCTTTACAAAACTGCAACCTGATACTGAAAATAGCTTCCTGGGAAAAAATGGAATCATTTTTTGGGAAAAAAGTCAATTAAACTGTTTATCATCGAGTTCATGTGAATCTCATGGTTATTAAACCTGCAAATCAAGTTGAAAGACAATATTCCATTTTTTCGTAAATTTTCTTTCGAGAAACTGGCCGAGTACTGGAAACTTTTAGGACCGGGACATTTGTTTAGTTGACAAAAATAGCCATGGCATGGGTAACAGTTCGACTAGCACACTTCACTTTGCCCAAATGATAACAATCTGTGCTGGTCCTGACCCGAATTGCGCAACCCAATCATACTCATCATCTTCACCTCCTTAGCCTTTCCATTCACAGGCACACACACCTCTAGGCTCGTAAACGTAAACGCCGTCCTTTGAGTGTGGACAGGGGCAAGAATGAGAAGAATTCAAATTAGGTTAATACTTTTTGAGAGGAGCGGGTGACAAAAAAGGAATCAAAAAACGGGGATATGTGTGGGAAAAGAGGAAGGAGAAATAGATGAGGAAGCAGATTTACAACATGACCACCATCGAGAAGAGTTCGGTCAAGGGTCATAAATACCTGATTGGAAGGAAAGAAATAAGGAGAAAAGGTTTGGTTTACGACTACGATTTTCGCAAGAATGGTAAAATTTTGAAATACTTTTTTCAGTGGAAAATATAAGCTGTGTTTGCTTTAATTCAAGCCAACTATACATAAACCTTAGGTTTAATTAAATCAGTTTCTTTAAAAGATAAATTTGTCAATATATAAAGTATAGGTGGTATTATTGAAAATCATTTCTGTAGACAATTTTTTGATGTCTTATACAGGAATTCAGGTAAATAAGCTCAAAGTGCACGGACAGGGTGGGCTTCAATCAGAGCAAACACGGTAACTTTTGTGTACTAAAAAGTATTACAGAATTTTTCGATTTGTCGGAAATTTTCTGCGTATACTGAACAAATGGTCAGCTTTAATTTTGTGATTGACAACGAATTTAAGCAAACGAGATAAGCAGTTGAGAAGTGGCCAAACTTTAAGTTTAGTTCTAGCTTTCTCATTTTTAGCACATTTTTAAATGCAAACGTCATATCTCACCAGAATGGAATTCGGTTAAAAATTGTAAATTCCAAAAAAGTAGTTATTTCAATATTTGACATGACTATTCAAATAAAATTATTAAAAAAGCTAATATATTTTTAGGCTCAATAAGATTTGAAACTTTCAGAAAAATATAACTTCTAAAATATTTTCTCAGGTCTTGGAAGTGTCACTAAAAAATATTTTAGCCGTTTTCCGGCGCTGTACTCGTAATTTCTACTAATTTAGTTATTCTATTTTATATCTAAGAATATATATTCCAGATAAAGCTTGAAAAACAAGACTACTACCTATAAAAATATTTGAAATAATGAAAACATATTGGAAAATGAACAAAAAAACGTTTCACTATCATTTTTAGGTAGTGGAACTTAAATTTCCAGTATCAATTGAAAATGAATGTCTAGGAAATTTGAAAGACAGCAGCGATAACATATGAAAACAATGGCACTTTTTCTAGTATTTTCTCACTATTAGTTCTCGTTTTTTTCGGTGTCATACTCAACTACCGGAAAGTTAACAATAGTAGTTCAGCAACACATACAAAGCTAGTCTAGGACAGAAACATATAAAAAATAGTAAATCCTGCAACAGTGAACTTTAAGATAAATAAATTGTTGAGAAGTGAAGTGTTTTGAGAATTAAGAGAATCTCTAGAAGGTTCAATTCAAATAGAAATGAGTAAGAAAAAAAATGGTGAGAGGTTTTCTATCCCAGAAAAGGGGGCGGCCCGAAATACGTAATCTGTTAAGAAAAACAAACATTTTTAAATTCGAGAAAACCTATAGTTCAACTGACATAAAATGAAAGTGCAAAGAGAGAATAAAATCTGACCCAGCACCAGTCGTAAACCATAAATTTCAACCCAGTATTTCAGCAATAAAATCTTCTGTGGTCCTTAGTACACAACCATTTCGAGGTGAATTGTGCAGCTGGCGGGACACAAGACGGAGCACAATGAAAGATTAGTAACGGAGGTCGACATATTCAGACCTTTCTTTTCTCGTCCTCTTATACGTTTCATTTCCCACTTGTTTACCACAAAATGCCCGCAAAATGCTCTCGGTCGGGCTCTTCACACAGAGCATTTTGGTTTCCCCCATATAAAGGAACATGGATATACTATTTGTAAATTCAAAAACAATGAGCTCTGCTTTCGGAGCATCAACCATATGTTGTTGACACACACAAAAACAGAGAGAAAGTGTTGGTGGAGCGGGAAGGGGACCGAAATAACTAATGCAAAGAAATTTTCAAAATGCGCGTGGTCCGTGGGGGCCGATGTTTCAGTAGTGAAGTGGTTTCTAGGCACCCGTCAAGAGCTGTCAGCATCTCCACAGGCAACTCGAAGAGATTTGCGATTCCACCTTTTTTATATTCGACTTTGAACATTGGGAATTCTAATTTGACATGAAATAAAATTAAAAATGGAAAATGTTTCGATGATGCAGAGGTTTTTCATTATGAAAAAGAAAAAAAAAATTGTTGAACAAAAAAAAACAAAATCGGTTGGTCGACCGGTAAAGAGGACCGGTAGGTTTACAAAAAGGCAGAACAAAAAAAAAGGGAACAGATTTACATTACTATTGGCAAGCACGACGAGCGGTATTTTATATGGAAAAAGGCACTGATATATTCACTAACCATTTTTGGAAGGCACGAAGAGATTTTTAAAAAATACAAAGAAAAATATAGAACAGAATTTTTTAGAAGCTTAAATTGTTGAGACACATCATTGACAAGACTCCAGTCACGATCATGGCCCACTGCTTGAAACTTTGACTGAAATAAAAGTAAAAAAAAAACATTTAATTTTATAAGTTAGACTCACATAGGAGATCTCTCTTCGTGAAGTTCTGGCAAAATCTGAACCAGCGCAATATTCAGAAAACCGCCAGCAGTGAACGGAAGGAGAGTCTCAATGACGGGCACGTTGGAGGTGTGAAGAGAAAGTGCTACACATGAGCCCAACACTCCAGCGGAAGCAGTTACGAACTGAAAAAAATTGGTGGTTGGTGGGTGAGCTTTTGAACTAGTAGACGTACCTGGGCCTTAATAGCAGCAACTCGGTCGAAATCGGCGCGGAGGAGGATAGCGAAATCACTGATTTCGTGTGGAATCTCGTGGAGGAGAATGGTGATAGTGGTAAGGAATCCGAACTGCAAATATTTCGAGTTGATCTTGAAACTTTTTATATAGGATTCTTGGAAAAGCTTTTTTGGAATTCGGGATATTGAAAATAGCGAGTTTCGACACTTCAGAATGTTCCGATTCTGCAAAGATTGGAATTTCAAAATTTCAAAATAATCAGATATTCGAAATTCCCAAAAACTCAAAATTTGTGAAATTCGGAATATTAAGATTTTGAAATTTTCAGAGTTTCAAATTAATCCGGTAGGAAATATTTCGAAAAATTGGAACACTTTGATTTTGAAAATTTTGGAATTTCAGGATTTTTTAAATTCAGAATTTTCAACATTCAAAATTTTAAAATTTAGCAATATTCCGATTTTGACAATTTCGGAATATTACAATATTCGGATTTGGTAAATTTCGATATTTCGGAATTTACAGAATATTTTTTCATTGCACCACTTTTTTATTGAAAGTCTGATTTTTGTCAGAATTGAAATTAACTCCCAAAAGTGTTCACTAACCTTCGTGGAAACTAGGAAACTGCTTCCAACAGCGAGTCCATGAGCGAAATTGTCCACCACATTGGCACACAGGTTCATGTAGGCGCAGAGCTAAAATTTCAAAAGTTAATTTTTATTCCAACAATTTGTTTCTCCGCCCTCCCAAGTGTTTACAATTTCAATTTCAAAAACCTATACATTTCACTTGCCTGATGCTGTCCCTCTTCAGTGGATGCTCCAATCTTTTCAATAAAATAGAACGAGAGGAATCCTGCAAGTGTCCATAATCCAATAGAGATTTGGTCCGTATGGTTGTCATAGGCTTCTGGTAGCAAATGCAAGAAGACGTCGGAGAGAAGAGTTCCAACACCAAAAGCAAGGACCAGGTTGAGGCGGCGTTGACCCTCTAGAAATTGAAAATTTGAAATTATTTTTAAAAGTTTGACTAACCTCTCGATTGGAGGAAATCGTGAATGTTGGCTGGAAGCAAGAAAGCTGGAACGATTCCACTGCTAACTACCAACGAGCAACCAAACAGAGTCCAGAGCCACGTGGCAGCGGTAACATCTCCCTGCTTGTTTTCCTCCTCGCTCTGCCACATAATCTTCTGGATTTCGGCTGCCTCCTTTCTCAACTCCTCCTCGAGTCTGCAAAGTTCAGTGTGAGAAAAAACAACAAGAAATCAAATCCCCAAAGGAAACAACACATACACCATAGCGTGTGCTCTAAGCGGTTCGTGAATCGGCTTGCCCTCTGGATCCATCAACGAGTCCACGGCCACGTCATCAAACTCTGACTTCAGTTTGTTACCGTTGGTCCCACCCAGAAGGGATTCCTCGAAAAATTGAGGACCAGCAGCCGGGTGGAGGTCTGAAAACGAAAAAAAATTTTTGTTTGAGATTGAAGTAACATTACTTCTATGTTTATGTGTTACCCCCAATTTATGAATTCATTTGTACAGGTTTGAAACCGAGCATTGAAATTTGTATTTTGTATGTTCTACTGATTATAATCACCGCGAAACCTGAATTAGAAGGGCCGACCTTTCTATTTTTCCGGCTAGTTTTTCTTCTATTTTTCCAATAGTTCGGTGAATTCTCGTCTGAATTTCATGAAAAATCTATCAATTAAACCAAAATTGAGCAGTTTTTTAGCGAAAAAAAACATTTCAACAGATTTCAGTAAAATTGTGGACTGTCCGGAATGTTTTTCACTGAAAGTGAAAAAAAAATTTCAGCCTCAAACAATATATATTTGCAAGGGTCCCTCCATTTTTCGGAGCCCCCCTTAAAGATCCCTTCTATTAGGGGCCCGTCTACTACAGGTACACTTCTAATACAGGTTTTACGGTATATGGTCTCAAAGAAAAGATAAAGCGCCCTAAAAAACGTTCAAGTGAAAATATATAATACAATTGTCGTTTTTGCCCTTTTCATGAACTTCCAACTTGTCCATTATTAAATTCTCTTTCACTCACCGAGCAATAATCCCTCCTGTGCATGTATGGCAATACATGATGAGAGTAGTATGAACCAGAACATGGTTCTCGGCCTAACTCTGAAACAATGAAAATGAAGAAAACATTTTTGGTTACCAACTACCCGGAAGTTTTACACCAAAAAGCGAAACGGAGAAAAGGAAACGGAAAAAAAGAAACGGTGTTGTAGAGATGGCGATTTGATTTTTGTTGATTACAGAAAAACGAAAAAAGGAAAAAGAGAAGAGAATAGAGAAATGAAGGAGGTGTTGGAGAAGAACTAAACCAGTTTCTTGCCGTGTTTTTTGCCGTTTGAAGGTTTTTTGTCGCCTTCTTCTAGAAGAAAGTGTCGCGAGACAAAAAAGAAGTCGTAGCGATTCAATCGATTCAGAAGCCCCAGAAAAGGTAGTCGTCTCTAATCGCATTAGGTCGCTTCTTCCAAATCGCCTAGATTGATGGGATACTTTTGGTATTGTTAGAAAAAGGGGAGAAGCTGAATAAATAAAGGAACACATGGAGAAATGAAAAATGGCGGAGAAGGAGAGGAATAATAAAATATATTTATGCGCGGGGGTTCCCAAACTTGTTTCTTGGTATCGATAGAATTATGGTTTCATTCTTAGTAGAAGTAAACGAAACAAATCAATAAAAAAGGCGCCAAACATCTGAAAAAACTAGCTGAAAATATCTTGAATATCTGGAATCTTCCTTTGCAAACCACACAATCTTGATCAGTATTTTGATATCAATCCAATCAGATATACGATTGCATCGACACCCATCCAAAACCAGTTCGCCAAAACAAAACCGATAACAGAAGACACTCAGAGAACGGTTATAGAGATATATGGGGGGGAAGTCAATGAAAACGAGAAAACCAATGAAGAAAATAAGCAGACGTATGACGCTTCTTCCTCTTTCCTCTCAAAACCAGATGAAAATGACGACCACTGTTCAAGTACTAATTTAGAAACTGAAGACGAAAAAGAATAAGAAGCATATGAATGAAGACAGAAGAAGAAGAAGAAGCAGAAGGAAGTGGGAGATATAGGAATTCTGAGGATTAGAGATTGAGACATAAGGCAGAGGAGAGAGATGCAGACATTCGGCCAACTGTTTCGTGAAGGACACATATGCCAGGAAAAATATGGACTTCTTTGGACACTTTCGGTTTTTAGTTGTTTTATTTTGAAACAGTTGAGAAAAGCTAGGAAGACTAGCGAACTGATAAAAGTTGGCAACTGTGTAGAGATACTAGAAGTATCAGAAAACGTCAATCAATACGAAAATTAGTGTAATAGAATCTGGGTCAAGAGTATTGGGAGAAGAGGGAGAGGGAGAGAGAGAGAGAGAGATAGAGAAAGAAGAAAAGATAGAAGAGGAACATCTGGGAGGATGCACGTAGGCACGGATGAACGCTAATTATACTAATAGTAGTGAATAACTGAGTAGCTGACAATTATACATGTTCCGAAAAGGATGATGCCTTTTTTGTAGCGTTTTGATTATTGATGGCTTCTGTGAAATGCTTGTTGGATTTTTTGTTGAAAAGGTTTGGAAAAGTTCCGAAACTTTTTCCCCCACACACGGAGCATTAAACCTGGGAAGTTGTATAGAGAGAGAGAGATTCATAAAATTGACATTTTGATTTTATTTGGGATTCAAAAAAAAAAGTGAAAGTTTATAATTTTTCGGGTTTTCAGAAACTCGAAAAAATGTTCAGCGGTTTATGCAAAAATTAAAATTCTAGAATTTCTGGATGAACGTTTTTCGTTATTCCCTTCGGAAATATTTGTCTGAACATTCACAAATTTTCAAAAACTTTTGAATTTTCAAAGTTTTAAAAAATTTTTTACTTTTCTAATTTTAAAAAATTACAAATGGAATTTTCTAAATGCTCTAAAAATGCGAATTTTCAATTTTTGAAAAATTGGGACTTTTCAAAATTTCCAAAATTGAAAAATTGTGAAAATTTCAAAAATTGTTCACTTTTCGACATTTAAAAATTGTTGACATGAAAGAATTCCAAAGCTTCCAATTTTCCGAATTTTTGCAATTTCATCAAAACGTGAAAACTGTAAGAATTCGAAAATCAAAAAATGTACAGAATCTGAAAAATTTAAACCCCGTTTTTCCATTATTTATGAATCATCCCATCTTATTAAAACGTTTTTATAAACAAAATCTTGTTTTTGCAACACTAATAAAATTCCCGCATCCCGTTTTTTTTCAAATAATCATCTTCATTTTTATTTCGCACGCAAATTATACAAATACAGTGTTTAAAATAACATCATAAAATAGTTTTTCCGGGATAAGTGAGTGTGCTGCATTATTTTTCCAATTAATGCTCCCGATGTGTGAGAATAATCAAAGTAAATTTAGAAAAAATATATATCTCGGGATGAGAAAAATTGGAATTTCGTGACAATATCAGAAATCAGAATCGTAAAACGGACACCATTAGAAAAAACAAAAGGCAATAAGTTGGAATTTAATGAAAAGATGGGTTTGGGAGGTTGTGACGGAGGGAAAGGCATTGTCATAAATTATAATAAAATTGCACAAAATCGATTGCAAACATCTGAAATGATGTTCTACTCGTCATGCTCGTCTGGCGAGACGATTCCTTCACTGCTGTTCGATTGCCACTCGGCCGATGAGTCAACGGAGCTGTATGGGCGAATCTAAAGAAAACAAAAAATGAATTAAAAGACCATCTGGCGATGGGGGTCATGTTTACCTTATGATGTGCAGTGGAGATTTCCAATGGCGAGTAGAATGTGTTTTTTCGGATGTCCTGAAAGTTTGTCATTAGTACCAAGTATAAATTCAAGCCTCAAAAGGTCAAAGTCATTGATTCACAAAATTTTCAAATCAAAAATATAACAATTTGGTTTGTCTTTGGAGTCTGCATTTTTTTTGAAAGGAAACAATATTGAAATGTTTGAGATTTTGTGAATTTGAAAGCTGGAATTTTAAAATTCTGAAATCATTGCAGACTCTGTAATTTAGACAGAGTTCTCCACATCTTGGCAGAATCTTAAAATATTATGATTCCAGAATTTTAGTATTTTTAACAAATAAAATCATTATTTTAGAATCTTTCAAACTTTCAATCCCAAAAATCCAAAAAAAAAATCTAAAAATTTCAATTTTTAAATCTTGAAAATCCCATTTTTCCTGGAACTCTAAATTTTGAAATTGAAAATTGTTGATGATTCAAACCAGAAATTCACGAATTCACAGATTTTTGAGTTCTTCATTTTTGAAGTTCTGAAGTTTCAAAAAATCAGACACCATATTTACACCATAGCCCACACCGATCCGTGCACTTTGCACACAATTGTATAGATTCCTTCGAAATACAACAAAAAACAGTCAAGCTATAAAATGTTAGTGATATTTATAAAAAAAAATTATATTAGCTGACAAATTTTTGATATTTTTCGAAAGAACGAAGATAATCAAGCTCCATGCGCCCGTATTGGGTGGGCTTCTTTGAGAGGAATGAGCTCACCTTAATGATAAGTGCAATATTCGCTGCCAATTTTCCTTCATCACAATTATTTTCTCTGGAGAACATAATCAATTCTTCCTGAATTCTGTTAGCATCCTCTAGTTCTGACAGCTTGTTAATTTTGTCACAGAACGATCTGTGTTGCAATAGCTTCTTCTTAAGCGCTTCGATAATATCGGATTGTGCTTGGAATTGCCGTTCAAGATGTGCATTGAATTCTTTTACCTGAAAAAAATTACGATATTTTATATCAAAATTTATGATAGAAGTTACCTCAATCAGCTCCTCTTCCAGATGTTGTGAAATCTTTCCGTCATTCTCTGCTTTTTTGGCGGCCTCGTACAACAGTTCATAGTCATGAATCTTTTCTAGAGCATTCTTCAATCTGTATTTGGCTTCCTCATATCTTCTCTCCAACTCTGTTCTGATCTCTGGCCGTTGCTCGTCTCTGAATGCGGCGAATTCTTTTTCAAGGGTTTTGTATTTCTGGTCAGCTTCCTTCTTGTCATTATTCATCTTCTCGATATCTGCTTGTTGTTGCTCAACTGTAGCCTTCAACTTTTTTAGTTCCTCTTCTTTTTTCAATGCCTCTTCTTGAGATGAGGACACTACTGATTGCAGTTGTCTGAAAAAAGAAACATTATTCAATTTAACTTCTAAATTTCAGAAACATACGCGCTGAGAGCCTCTGTCATTTTTCTCTCTCTAGTTAAGTCGCTTTCTTTCCCTTGCATTTGGAATCGAATCTTTCCAAGTTCCTTCGACGCCGACCTTAGTTCCTCATTAATCTGAAAATTGGATTAACTCTCTGCGTAATTGAACAATTTCTTACTGTAACATTGGCAGATTCAGCTTTTTCTAGTTTCTCTTGAATGGTCTTCACTTTCTCTGACTCGGATACTGAAGCATTGGCGGCTGGAGCAGCAGACTTGTGCTCTTCAAGTTCCTTTCTGATAGAGGCAATATTTTCAAGTTGAGCAGCATGAGCCTTTTTGACTTCGATTAGTTCTTTGAGCAATTGGGATTTTTCAGACTCGAATTTTGTATTTTTCTCGGCAAGCGTTTCCTGGAATATACAGTTTTAGGTATTAAAAACATAGAAGTTGTACCAAAAATTAACTAAAAATTAAATATTATTAATTAAAATTAACTAATTAACCTGTAATATTATAGAAGAAGTTTTTTACAGTCAATCAAAGGATGTTTCAGTTCCTGTACAAGTTTCAAAAACATATACCGTGAACTTTGAGCCAGATTATCCTGGCACTCGTAAGAGATAGCAAAGAATTATCAACAGAAAAAAATTTTTAATGCTATCATTAAAATTTTGTAAGTTGTTCACTTTTTGATATCCCTCACAGGGAATAAGATAAATAGGCTCAAAGTTGACGGTTTTAAGACATTCTATCAGTGCTGGTAAATAGTAACTGGTAAATGTGGACATTTAAAATTTTTCTATCGCAGGTTTAGCGGTATACTGCGGCTTCCAATAATTAATTTTTAATTTTACAAGAAAACTAATTCAAACTCTATTATCCCAACTGAACCGAGTCAGATCAAAATCAGATAATTCAAATTAACGAAAAATCAAAATCACAGCATTTTAACCAAAAAAACTCTATTATGGTTATGTCTATCAAACCTGATGTTTCTGATTCTCCTCCATCTCAAGCACTTGGAACTCGAGCACATCATTTCTCTCGGTTTGCGACGCAATTTGTTGTTTCAAGTCATCAATTGTAGTTTCCATACAACGAATGTGTTCCTGTTGACCAGCGATGGTCGATTTGAGTTGGGCAGTTTGGGACATCTGAAATTTGGTTAGTTCTCATGCAAAAAGGGCAAAAAATACACACGAAACGCAAGCAAATCAGTATATCAATTGGAATAAAGAGAGGGATTGGTAGTGGCGTTGGCTGTACGTAATTGCCAGCTGGTATATTGTATTTACACATACACACGAAAGTCCACGCGGAACGCACTTTTTCCACTGCCGCGCGTCGCCGCTCCACCCTTTTTTCGGTAGTCACGTCATTTTGCTGGCGGGGCAGCTGCTCAATGCTCAAGGCACTACAGACAGATGCAATAGAAGAGCTTTTTAGGAGAAGAAGAAAAGAATGAATGGACAAAGAAGAAAAAGGCGTTGGGTTTATCAACTGACCATGTCCTGTGTCGCGTCGATGACAAGTTGTTGCTGTTCGATTGTGGAATTGGCGAAACTGATCTGGTCGCGTAGGAAACTTTCCTCACTAAGGTCGGATGTGTTCAATTGGAGTTCCTGCAAATTTGGAATTTTCTTAAAAATAAAGTTTTTGGAAATTGTGATTTCTTTCAATAGAAGCCCACCCATACAGTCAATTTTGTGCTGAATTATCTAGATTCCTGTGAAAGATATTGAAAATTAGTCAACTGGTGAAACGTTTGTGATATTAAAAACAAAAGTTTATCAGTTAACAAATTGTTTATATCTTACACAGGAATCCAGATAATTGATCTTGAAGTAGACGGTTTAAAATGGTTTCTATTGAAGGAATTGCTTGAAAACTTGTGATAGTAAGAATAAAAAATATTCTTCTTCTAGGAACTAACACCGGCTGAGCTTTGTAAGTAAAACGTTTATGGATTTAAATAAACTTTTGAATTTGAAAATAAACGTTAATTTTTTGAACCCAAAATTGCAAAAATACATTATTCTGAGCACCTGTCTTATCAGAACGACACCTTATACTTGCACTTTGACCTCAATCATCTCAATTTCTCCAAGAAATCTTAAAAATCTGTCAACTGATGAAACATTTGCCTTATACGGTTGATGTGGACATCCCGATTTTTTCTTGACATCCAGAGAAAAACAAAAGTTTCAATAATAAAAATCAGAATTCAGCTCGCAATTTCCAATTTTTGAAATTTGAAAAAAAGGTTTGTATTCAAAATTTTGAGTTTTTGAATGGGAAAATTCGAACAATTTCAGTGAGCCACACTTTCAACCTATTTTTCAAAGTTTTCTAAGTAATTAATTCGATATTTCGGAAAAATTAAATTTCCTAAATTAAATTTTATGGTTTCATTTAAAATCTCATTATCTAGATTTGAGAAAAGTCTGAAAATGAATCATTAAACTTACATTTAATGCACGCTGCAACTCGGCGTTCTCTCTGTACAGTGCTTGATAGTCGGTCTCGATATCCTTGGCGAAAACCTGTAAATAAAAATTTTTGATTTAAATTGAAGTGACTAGTGGGGCCGATTAGGTGAAGGTTGTAGATGTCTATCTGATCGTAAAACACTACCACAGCCCAAGAATTGAAAAACGAGTGATGACGTCGAAAAAAAAGTGGCTAATATCTCTATTGGTCGAGAAGAAGTGAAAACCGAAATTCGAATAGATTCATATCATTCATTAACATAACATCGGTGTGTGCGGGGAAAGGGAACACGATTTCTCGAATTTACGGTCCAATTCACACAATTTCCCCCTCAATTTCTAAATTTCTAATCTCAGGTTGACCTGCTTATTTTCTAGGTTGACCAAAAATTTTAATAAATATATAGTTTCCAAGTTTCAAACAAAGAAAGAAAAAATTAGGTGTTTCGCTAAGAAAAACAACTTGTCAGTATCGTATCACCGACGGGTAAACGTTGGAAGGCTGGTGTCTTAATTTGATTCTAGGAAAGTGATTGATTACTGTTTGTCGCAAGAAGGAAAAGAGGGTGTTCAAGGACACTGTGGTACCAGATTGAACTAAAATAGTGTTACTCTTAAATTTGTGACCCTAAATTGTATTATGGAAAAGTTTGAAAGTTAATATTTTAGCAGAGAACCAGATGACAAATATAATATTTTTGAGCTCAATTATCTCGATTCCCGTTGACGATATTAAAAAATTGGCAACTGCTCGGTTATTCACCCAAATGTCTTTTATCACCTAGCACCTTTTTGATATCTTTAACAGAAATAGAGCTAATGAAGCTAAAAATTGACAGTTGATTTGAGCCTCGTTTATATGAAAGACGATATTTTCAGAAGAAATTAATCAATTATACAAATCCCAGAATAAAGTTAAGACTTTTCGCATTGCTCTAAAAGGATCAGAGTTTATTAAATAATAGAATTTCATTGTAGTGCATAAAAATTTTAGAGCCAAGCAAGCTCTATTCTGATGAGATATATCATCTTAACCAAAAAATTGTCGAAAATGCCTCTGTTCCGCTTCATATCGCTTGGTTGAATTTGTACAAAACAGTGGTCAATAACAAAGCTCTTATGATGGTTGGCGTATTGCGTAACTTTCAAACAAATTGAAGCGTTTTCGATTATTTTTTTAAGATTTCAAGTTTGACTTTTTTTTCTGAAATAACGAAAATATAGCATTCTCTTCTACGAGTAAACATGCTCGATTTTGAATAAGACCACCAAAAAGACCCTACTGTGCTGCTATCGAAACTATACAGGTTACAAAATGAGTCATGCTGAGAGCGGCATGACGGAAATAAAAATGGTTAGCATTTTTAATTAATCAATTTTGCATAAGAATTGAAAAGAGAGCGAGCGGGGGCACTAACCTTATGCGGGAGAGACAAGAATGGAACACGAGAAAAAGACATTCACATTTTCAAGGGATGTAGTAGAGGATCGTCTAGTTTATCAAATTAGAAAGATCGAGAAATGAACGAAGAACAAAAGGCTTTCAAGGGTAATTCTTAGGAAGTGTATAAAGTTGTTCTAAAAAGGAAAAATAGGAGAAAATAATGATTTGAGAAGACAAAAACCACCGCACCCTAATGAGACGGCAAGCTTTGATATTTCCTCGAGAATTGCTTTCTCTCTATATACACTTTTATTGTTCCTTTTCTAGATTTACGACAATCCTTTTTTTTTCTCTCTGTCTCTTTCTTCAATTATTCGCTTCCTTATACCAACAAACGTAAAAAGAGAAACTGGAAGAAGAAGGATTGGGGATAATGAATGGAGAATAAGAAGAAGTAAAAGTGAATGATTGTTTAGGTCGTCAAACAGTTTTTTTATAGATATCCCCTCGTCTCATTTACGATTCGTTTGTTTGAGGATAGACTAACATTTATCAAAAAGTGTAGAAGTGCGGTTGGTCATACATAATGACGTCGGAAAAAAAGATAAACTGTTTGTAGAAGCAACAGAAAAAAAACTTCTTATAGCTGGTTTTTTTAGTTTTTTTCGCGTTGATTGCACTTTTGAACTTGCAATTTTTCTTGCAAAAAAAATTTGATGCATTTTTTTTCTAATATATTTTCTGTGTCACATTTTAGTGCTAATGAACTGAATTTCATTTTGGTTTTAAAATGAATAATTTATTTTTTTCACATTTTATTTTCTACAAAACCTGTGATAAAGAAGCCCCCAAACTGTCAAGTTTGAGCTACTTTATCTCAAATCTCATGCGAGATATCAGAAATGCGTCAATTTAAATAATTCTTGAAATATTAAAATGAACAGTTTATTAGTTGACAACTTTTTTATATCTTTGACAGAAACCAAGATAAATTGGCTTAATATTGAAAGCGACTCTTCTATCATAGGTTTTACAATTTGAAAAACAAGAAGTTGAGTTTACAGCAAAAATTTGCTTGTTTCATCAAGTGTTATAAGACAACTACGAGAAATTTTGAAAACGAAAATCGCTAAAAAACTCAGCCAAGAAGCACAACGTCCTCGACAACAAAAAAATTACAGTTTTAGGGTAATTTTCAATTTTTTTCTGTTTGATGATATATAACAAGTATTTTGCGCACTTTTCGCAAAATCAGCATAATATTCTTTGATACTTTTTACTGTAAATTACGTAATTGTACTAAAAAATAAATCAATGTTTTCAAAATTCTCAAAAAAAAAAACTGTAAACGGAATTATGCAAAAATAAAAATCTGATTTTTTTTTCTTGCAAAGTTTCAAAAATGAAACCCAACCTTTGTTTGAAATATGAGGCTCTTGGGAATCTTCATTTTTCAAAAAACTCAAAAAACGAAAACAAAACAACTTAATTTTTTACTTCGTTTTTTTTTTAGTTTTTCCCTTTTCCTTCTTTCAATTTACCCTGCGGCTCTAACTAATAGAATTAACTATTCCTGGCCCCTTTCTAACATTCTACTTTCATATGTTTTTTGTCCACCACAAATCTATTTTTCCTCTTGTTTTTAAAAACAGGGGAATTTTTTACGTAGTAATAGTAATAATACTGGTAACTTTATCCGTAACAAGATATGCCTGGAATCTGAGTCAACTGACAAAGAATCCAGATCAGTTTATCCACCCCGGGTCTGTAAATGTTAAACTAGATTAGATGCGAAAAAAAAAATTAATTTGCTTGAACTAAAAACATCTAGACGCCACAAATCAAGAATATGTGTATTGATGAATAATGCGAAAGGTGTGACAAAATGTTTCCTTGGAAAGTATAGAAGACACAATACAAACCTCTTCGAAATCCTCTGTAATCGTATCAAGACTGACAGTACTGGCTGCCGAACAATCCGATCCACCATTACTGCAAAAATAGGATTAAAAATTGGGGTTTTGGCGGAGGTTTACCTCATTCTGTCATCGTCGTTTTCACTTTTCTTTAAACACTTCTGAAGACGCTTGAATTTCTGGACCAACATTTCATATCGCTTGTCTTTTTCCTGACAAGAAGATGAATAATTAAACAATTCAAAAACAAAAGTCTCACATATGCAGAGCTGCGGAGGGCTGTGATACACTTAGAATATTCCAGAACTTTTCCACGGTAGCGACTGAGCTCTTCCAATTTTTCGGGGGATACACGTTTCTCCTTGAGGCAGGCATTCTCTTTCAGTAGACGTTCGTGAATGTCTTTCTGGAATGTTGAAGACTTGACATTTACTCTGGATATATTAAACGTAGAGAATCGGTCAATAAGATATATAAAGAAGTATTTGTTAGTTGATTTTTGGCATTTTCAGGAGTCTGAAGCTCGACTGTCCAGTTTCCAAACACTTTAAAAATTTAGGAGGGTGTAAAACAGACCTAGACGAAAACCTTTGAATTCCCTGAATTTTTAAAAATATTCAGCTCCTTGGATACTTGCCGTTTACTGAAAGACACCTATGTTTTCACGTTTTCAGTTAAAAAAAACTATTCAAAGATGGATGCCTTTCAGAAATTGGCAAATAGCTAAAAACTAGGATTTTTCAAAAAATTTCTAAATGAAAATGTTCAATTTTTGTCTGTGACACCTTTCAAAATGTTCAAGGTGATCGAAAACTTGAAAGCCAAGCCCGAGACTTCTGAAATAATTCAAAATAGGCAAAAATCAACTGAAAAGTACGTTTTTGCGTATCTTATTGACCGTTACTGTATTACTGTCCGTACATTCCCTTATCAATCCCATATCCAGATTCATTACCAGAACTTAATCACTTTTTCGTAAAGATTTTTTCAAAAATAAAACATGCAACCATCTGAATCCGTTTTTATTTTTCATAGTTTTTAATCTAGTTCTATGTGACACCCTTAGAAATTTTCGAAGTTATGAGGTAATTTACAGCTCTTGAAAATGGTCAAAATTGCCGAAAATCAACTGAAAAGTACGTTTTGGTATATCTTATTGACCGTGACTCTATCTCTGGAGACATTTTGCGATTTTTTCTTGAAATTCTACAAAGTTCTGACTAACCAGGGTAAGGAAATCGTCCCGACTATGACTGAATCTCTGCTCGGCTTTTTTCATCTCCTGCTGTAGTGTCTTGTTGCGATCGGAAAGTTTGCGATTTGCATCAATCATCGGGCGTTGTCCTTTTTCCATCTCCACAATCTTCTTTTTCTGAAACTCAGCGATTTTTCGATATTTTGAAAATGTTTGATTACCAATTCCGCTTTATTAATCGTCAACGAAGAGTTCAAAGTTTCCGCATCCATCAACCGTTTCTCCACTTCCTCCATTTTCCCCAACCATCTCGTCCTTTCCTTCTCATGCTCTTCTTTGCTGACCTGCAAATTTTCAATATTGAAAATACGGAAAAAAAATAATGAATAATTTTTTAATTATTTATCCTGAAAACAAACCTGGAGCGGTGCCAAGTCAAATGTGGTGACTGTAGCTCTACGATTCCTATCAATGACTCTTGGCATCTTTAATACTGCTTCTAGAAAGATACGATAAGAGAAGATAATGAGATTCAACAATGCAAAAAAAGAAGAAACTTATATTTCAATAGGGAGGCGTCAGAAGAAAAAAACCTAATCGCGCGAAAAAATCACTGTTTGTGTGGGCATGACTGTTTTCTCAAGATCGAATCGTCGAAGGAATAAAAAAGGAGAGAAGAAGAAGTGTATAATCTGTGGAGTACACAAAAGCGAACACAAACATGGGTGTTCTGCATGGGAAACCTAGACGATCTACACAAAAAGTGTGGGGTAAATGACCAAATCCAATTTACTTGGTCCATAAAAGACAAAAAAAAAGAACCAGAAGAAGAGGGGTCAGTGTGTGGGGGGATTAGATGAGTGAAAGGCGACAGAAGGGACGATAAAAAGAGAGGGAGAGCGGACCGTACAAGGACGCACATACACACTCATAGTGAGTCGTAATTGCAGGTGTGTGTGCGCAGAAAACAAGAGACGGACCACTAGACTAGACCGGCTGTCGAGTTGAAGTAGATCAAATTCTTATGGGCTGCCTTTTGAATAGTATGCAGATGTTTTGGACAAGCTGCTCCCCGCAAACTAACAAGTTACTTAGAGACCTAGACTCGTTAGAAACTTCATTTAGATTCTAAGCATTTTCAAAAAGTCCTGAAATGAATGGATCCAGAAATAGTTTGGCATATGACGCTTTGATAATTAAGTTTCTTGAATAATCAGGGGCGGGAACGATGGGCGGCATCATCAAGAAGGTTTTGAAGGTTTTGCAACAAAGAAAGATGATCTCCAGCTGTGATTCAATTTCACTTTGATTTGATTTTCCCCGCCAAACATCTCAAAATGACCTATTTTATATTTTCTCATTCCAGAAGCTTTCCCATGTTCGAATTGCCTTATCAATATCACGCATAATCAGAAAATTGAATAGAGAGAAAGTGACATTTCGACTTTCACCATCGTTGTATTAATTTTATTATCAAGTGAAAACACACAGATAACTTACATAGGTCTTCTCCCCGAACGCCGATGGCATCTTCGACGGTGTCCCTGTTCGAAACGGGCTATCGGGCATTGATCTGAAATGATAAATTACGCTTATCAAATTTTGGGGAACAAGAGGTTTGGTTTGAAAATTAGAACGGGGAAAATTCTAAGTAGATTTTGTTTGGAAAAATGAGAAAGAACTAGTTTTGATTTGAACTGCTCAATGGACCGTATGTTGATTCGTCTGGGAGCAAAAGACTCGGCAGGAAATGAGTTATGGCTTTTTTGCACATTTAGTTCAACTCATTCAAAATTAAAGGGTTTATTTTCTTGTGGAAAAGATGACCGGGCCGCGGGCCGGGCTATAGCCGGTCTGAGATTTTTTTGAAAGCGGGCCATCCCGCTCTTCGAAAATTTTGAAATTTTACAGCGAATAATAATTTTTCGAGATCGATTATCTTCTATTTAGATAAAAGAAACTCTACACTAGATGCTGATTCTGTCGGAAAAAAAAATGTTTTGAGGTCGCAATTAAGAAATAGTTTCATCCTTAACCAGATTAAATTTGATTTCTTTTGTAAAAACTTTAATTATTTGAATTGACTTTCTCAGACAGTGTTATGTATTTAAAATCATATTCGTTCGAATATTTTGGCACATTCCGGAAGTAAAATTTTTGAAATGGTATTCAGGGCGGGCCCGGCCCGGCCATTCACATGTATGGTTAAAGAGGGCCAGACAGCAAAAAATTTCGGAGAAAATTTCAGAGAACGTGTATTTTGCCGTCGCGGTGTTCGCACCTAAAGCACGCAATCCCACGCCCCCAAACATTTTTATTTTTTTATTTCCCTTTTTCGACTTTATTTTTTCAATTTTTAACTATTTTAAACATGAAAAAAGCTTTTTTTTATTTATTTATTATAAAACCCATATAAAATAGAGTTTTTAAATGTAAATTTAAAGTTCAACCAGCCGATTATTTTGTCAGTGGCCGGTGTTTTTTATAGACATGCGAAAAAATTATTTTCTCTCCGATAACCGTTTCTTCACTGTTCCTATTTATCTCATTTCTTCTCGTTATTACTATGGGAATAAGAAAATGTTTTATGACTGCGATTTTCAGAGACGTCTCCATTTCTACTACTTCCTTTGCCTTCCGACGACCAACCCTGCACGAGATTGGTTTTAATTTTGTGATTTTTTCAATTGTTAGAGCTCTTTCGAAAAATTAATTGTAGTTTTTTTCATAATTTATTTGTTAACATAATAAAACATCTTTATTTTCATTTTTAACTGATTTTGATATATCGGAGCTAGGCCTCGGCGGCACGCTGGTTGCCCATCAGAAATTCCAAGTTCAAAAAGTTCAATCCGAAAGAAGCAAGCTAAGAAAAATGTAAAAACACCAGCAGGGATTGAACCTCTGACCTTCTGAATACTAAGCTAGAGCGTACCCACTACACTACGCGTGTAAGAGGCGACCATCGCGTTGTTGCACATTATGAAGCGACGCCGCAGCAGCAAGCAGGGGAAGAAATTAGGGTGACAAAAAAGAGCATTTTTTCATCGAGGAAGTGTTTTTTTTCAGATTTTTAAGTACATGGCTATATTTATACTTCAGAGCAAAATCTTTTGAGAAAAAATGAAATTTTTGAAATTTTTGATGTCTCCCCTCCTTTAATAGTCATATAAGTGTATTCAAAAATAGTCTGACGAAAACGTTTTTTTTTCTAACCTCTTAAAAGATACCAATTTTAAAGAATTCATTTTTTGTTTCATGTCAAGAAATTGAATGAAATTTTATGAAAAAATGCCAGGAAACAGCTGAATAGGATCTAAGACACTGTTTGTTTGAATATATTTGGTTTTCGAAACAAATTACTATTTTTAAAATCTTCAAAAAATCATTGTCGTGATATAAGATTTATTTATCACTTTTTCAATGTAAAAATGATAGATTTTAGTATAAAAGTTCAGTTTCTGGACTAAAAATTGTTCAATCGTGAAATGTCAACTGTATTTTACATTTCCAAAAAAGTGAAAAAAATTCAAAAAATAGAATTTTTCTCTACTTCAGGGTTTCTGTAGGAAAATGGTCCCAACCCAAAAAATGATCATTAATGTACCAGAAACTGAGATCTGAAACATTTGAGTTGATATCACAATTTTGAAAAAAAATAATTTTCTGTGGTTACGGTATCATTTCGCGCCCAGGTGGGTGCGTGGCCTATGGTTACCATGGCCAAAAGTCTTAAAGTAGCCCCTATATCTACCACATACAATATCTGACTCCTAGGGACCATTTTTTTTTTTTTTCCATTGCCATGGTGTTTTCGAGTTTCTCAGAGATTGTGTCTTAAGCCCAATGTTCTCTATTACTGTAAAAGATGTTTCCGATCTGTCAACTAATTCAATTTTTATGATAATGCGAATAACTTATTAGTTGACGATTTTTTGATAACTTTCACAGGAATCGAGATAATTGAGGAAATACAAGATTTTGTTTTCATTTTTCCGCCAAACCTAATATTGTCAAACTCTTCTCACTATCTCCGGTCCCTGTTTCCGTAATATTCATTACCACTAGAAGAATTGTCACTTTCCTTTTCATCTCAGCCCTCCCACTATAGTTAACTCTTCACTCGCCTCACTCCAACTATCATGTCAACTATGACATTACGATTTTGCCATTAGCCATTCATCAATTATTTATAATTTTGCAAGAGCAGATAGCCTCCGCCACCCTCTTCTTCTCATTGACGGGTTTTGAGCTGCTGCTAGAATATTCTCAGTGTAACGGAAGTGTCGAGGTGCGGAAAAAATAGGTGCTCACTTCAAAGCCAATTGATTAGATCGCAAAATGTAAGAGAAAATGAGAGAGACAGAGAGAAAATGTGATTTTGATGATGAGCAACAAGATGTGAATGTTTCAAACATTCATGCTCCGATCAAAACATCAAACAGCTGTGAGCATAAAAATAGGTTTTGGGGGAGAAGTCGGAAAAAAATGTGAGAAGAAAACTGTTTGTAGATACTTCAAATTGAGCGAGAACAAATTCGTAAAGAAAAAAGAACAAAAAAGCTGTAATCTTTATGTCACTCGTATTTACTACCAAATGAATGAGAAATTGAACTTTCAGTTTTCCTACGGCCCTTTTTTTGTGATTGGGGCTTATTTGACAGCTACGACCTATCGAAAACCGGGTTCATTTTTTGATTGTATGCATTTTGCGTGGGGTGGATATTTGAAATATGATCTCTGCCTTAGTTATACAGTGTAGTAGAGTTTTCTTGTCAACAAAACTATTGACAAAAAAATGGTATGAAAAGGTATGGTAGTAGCGGGGAAAAGAAGAAAAAGTTGTTGGGACTTTAAGAATTTTTTTCAGATATTTTTTTGCTGAAAACCCTTAGTTAAACGTTTGAATAGATTTGTTCTTTTTAATACTTTTTATTTTAGGAATTTAATTTTTTTTTTTAAATTTTGTTTTTTTATTCACTTTTCTAATTAAAAAAATATATTTTGTTTAATTTCATATTTTCAAATTTTGGAATTTTCATTTTTGTTTGGTTTCAATTCATTTTCGATTCTTAAATTTTTTGTTCAAATTTTTTTATTTTGAAACCCCGTTTTTGAGTTCCCTGGCACAAAAATTTAGTGATTTATTGGAAATTCGTTTTTTTAAATTTTCGAAACAATTTTCAGTTTTCTTACCTCTTAGAATAGCTATTTCTGGATCTAGGACTTGCCAGCATGACTTCCAAAACTATATAGTACAATCACAGAATGTCAATTGTTTCTTTTTACCCTTATCACCTAATTAGTTTCTTTTCTCATCTCTTCCGACCCCTTGCGGTCACTTTTGTGCACACAACAATGACCCCTTTCTTTTCGCCCCCACTCAATTTGTTTTCTTGTGACTTACGTGCGTTCGTTGCCGGACATTTTTTGTTGTAACTAATACCCGTGAACTTCGTAGACAATGAAGATGACGTTGTTTTTTTCTGGTGGGCCTAGAACGAGTTCAATTTAAATCCAGCTTTTCAAACTTTGTGCTTTGACGGAAGCGAGTGGGATGCAAAACAATGGAAATATGATTGATCTGTCAAATCTGATTTGGAGCTTGAGAAAAATCACATACACATGATGTAAAAAAAGGGATCAAAGTATTTTTCTAAAATAATGAACGTGTTGAAAAGAGTCTTTTCTGCGGAGGTATGACGACAGTGCAAACAGCTGACCGAGGGGGGAGAGGAGAAGCGTCCAGCTTTTCTTAACCTCACTGATAGCCAATGTATTCCTGGCTCCCAGGTTGTAAATAGGAGCACGAGAAAGAATTGCACAAGAAAATGATGATGAGATGAAAATGAAGGAAAAGAAAATAAAGATGATCTTTTTCTATGAGATGTTACAATTTGAATATCGGAAGTGAACGCGTACATTTCTGTAAATGAAGTATAAAAAAAGGAATTCGTAATTTTAGAATTTTTAAAATGTAAACTGGTTTTTCTAATAGTGTACCGTAGATATTCTAAATTTCTAAGTTAATACTAGACGTTCGATGTGAGCTCAATTAGCTCGGTTCATCCAAAAGATATCCAAAACTTGTCGACTGATAAAGTATTGATGTCATTGTGATAAATATTTTATCAGTTGGCAAATTTTTGATAACTCGTATAGGAACCGAGATAATTGAGCTTGAAGTGTACATATAGGATGAGGTTCTTTCACAACAGCAGAGTGGTATTTGAAAAATCAACAGTTCCGAAAGATTCCAAAAAAAAATCGAATATTAGGAAACTAAGAAAAAACGGAAAACAATGAAAAAAAGTAGATGAGGATTTGCAAATACAATTTCAAGAGTCACAAAAAAGTGAGAAGAGGAGTTACTACCGTAAGAATTCAAATAGAACGCTACCCTGTACTCGCACTTCTAGCTAATTTACCTCAAATATAAAAAAAGATATCAAAAATGTTTCAACTGATAAAATGCTGGTGATAACGACAATAATTTCACAGTGAATAGATTTTTAATATCTCACAGAAATTGAGATGATTCAACTCAAAATGCAGGTGGCTTTCTATCA